CCCTAAACGCACTCGCAGTGGGGCTTGAGGGTTAAGGCGGTTGAGGGGCACGATAATCTATCAGTTTGAACCCCAAAAAGCCTGAAACCTGCACCACAGGTGCGTGTAGGGGCGGTCCCTAGACGCACTCGCATTGGGGCTTGAGGGTTAAGGCGCTTAAGGGGTTCTGTCAGTATGAACCCCGAGGCTGAAACCTGCACTAATGGGTGCGTTTAGGCGAGGTCCCTAAACGCACTCGCATTGGGGCTTGAGGGTTTGAGGGTTAAGGGGCAGGATATTCTCAATCAGTATGAACCCAAAATAGGCTGAAACCTGCACAATGAGTGCGTTTAGAGGCGGTCCCTAAACGCACTCGCATTGGGGTTTGAGGCTTCAAGGATATTCGATCAGTATGAACCCAAAAGAAGCTGAAACCTGCACCACGGGTGCGTTTAGAGGCGGTCACTAAACGCACTCGCTTGGGGTTTGAAGGTTAAGGGGCGCGATATTCTATCCACCCGATTATCCCTTTCGCGGCGCCTTCCGCCGCGCTTTCGCGGGCCTTTCGCGGATACTAAAAAGCAAGCATAAAATATTCGCCATTAAAAAAAGACAGGGGTTTGCGGATAACCCCCAGCTGATGCTCATCATGCCCGGCCGGCTGCTGAATACCAACAACCTCGCAGCTCATGGTGCTCGCCCGGCCGGCTGCTGAACACCAACAGCCTAGCAGCTGATGCTCATGATGCTCGCCCGGCCGGCTGCTGAACACCAACAGTTTAGCAGCTGATGCCCACGATGCTCGCCCGGCCGCGGGCGGCGAGCGCAGCGCCGTGACGCGCAGGAGTTGCCGGACCAAGTGGCGAGCGTCCTGATTCCACCGGCCACCAACTTCGGCGGCCAGGACGCATAGCCCGCCGCGCCTCAGTTCCGGGTATGTGGCGCGCTTGCAGGCTTTCGCCGTGCGGAGAGCAATCCTGGGAGTGTCTGCCGCATGGGGTGTGTCGGCTGTGCTGATTGGGCTCACCAACGTGGCGTCACAGCACAAGGCCATGCCCTGCGGGGATGCCCCAAATACTGGCTTTTTGTCACGGCCTGCCGCGTCCCACCAGCAAAACACCGACGACTGCCCGTAGAACTTTATTCAGTGGTGGATTAGCTTTGACGACAACGGTCCTGCCGAGCTCGACGTGGATGGAATGATCGCCGGTATCGCCGCTCGGGCAGCCCCTGGTGCCAGGACGGGCACGGCGGGGTCGGGGGGCCTAAGCTGGGTCTAAGGGCGGCATCTGCAGCGGCCATCCAATCAGCAGGCCAACCGAAGGGTACCTATTCCCGCGTTACTACTGCGCGTACGCGCGTCCCTTGCCACGGAGGTGGCGTGCCGAGTGTACACGTTCCTAGCACCATTGCGGCAACTCCGTGGCACCTGGCGGAACGCAATATGCGTCGCCCTCGAGGCACTGCGAGACGCCGATGGCGCGCAAGTTGGGTTCCTCGCCGTCACGCAACGTACAGCCTGTTCGCGCGGGCAGCGGCCGGCATCTACAGCGAAGCAGGGGCGCGCGTGGCCGCCGGTGTCGCCCTCTTCGACCACGAAATCAGCACGGCTTGCCGTTGTGGCGCTGAGATCGCCGTCGACACGACGCGGGTGAGCCCGCTGCAGCGGTGCGGGAAAAATGCACTCTACTCCTGCACTGGAAGAATTTGCTCGTAAAGCTTACAGTTCGGGGTGTTTTGTGGCTCCCATCTTTTTCAGGCTTTACTCGTATCTACCATTACACCTGAATTGTAATTCGTTTTTTAACCATTTTAAACCAGACCTAAAGAACACTTTGCACAATGTGTCTCCTCGCTGGGCGTGGGATGTGATGAGGGCACTGATGAGAGCTTATGCATTGACGTTGAGTTCCATGGGTTTTGCTGAAAGAGAACCGCTTTGCTGCAAAAACCCCAAACGCAAGTACATAAAATCAATCATACCGACCCATTAGCCTCATTTGCCAGAGCCCCGAGTGGAGAAAAAATCGCACGGAAACAACTGCCAGAAATGGACTTGCAAATTGTGCAGCAATGCAAAAACTCCAACACCATGGCAGCACGACAGCAGGCCGCTGGAGAGCAACAGTCCGCAACACCCCCATGCGCAATAGCCGCGGCGCTCGCCCTCACACCAACAGAGCTTCCTGCGAACTTGCGGCCAAGTAGTAGTCTGCGGAAGCGAGCGCCGCGACCGCTACCTGTACGGGGACGGCACCGCAGACTGGAGTCTGTGGAGAGCACCCGCATGCACCCGCGTCCGTGGCGTTGGCACTCGCTGTACATCCGGCGGGCCGGGTGCTTCGATTCTCCCACGCGTACGCCTGCGCAAATACATGCCGTGATCCTCCTCCCACTTGCATGCAGACCCCCGAGATAGTGCCAGCGCCAACAAAGTCACGCAGGTTACGGTCTGAGATGCGGAGCTGATTGATGAGCTTGTCACGGATACGATCCTTGTGCATGCCCTTTGCTCTGCTTCTCCCGCGGATGTCGACTCAGATTTTTGAACTTTTCCGTTGTATACCGAGAATAACTGACATCGGTGGATCGTTCGACGATGTTCGACGTTTTCGGCCCCTTGGCTTCCGTTCTTTACTGAATGTTGAAAAGCAGAAAGACATGCCATTTCCATGCCGCCGCCAACGAACAACAAGTTGAAAGAGTGCTGCCATCTTGCTCATGCATGCGCTTCGCGTCGTTGACTTGCGTTTACGTGGTCCTGAGCCTCGACGGACCGTGCTCTGCCGAGACTCGATCCATTGTTGTATTGCGCCACTTGACCAGTAGATGCCTTGTGGATCGGCCTTGCTGCTTGAAGGGGCGCCAGCAGCCTCAGATGGCCTAGTGGCTGCGCGCGTCCAGCTGCTGAGGAGGGTCACTCTGAAAAGGGGGCATGGGCCTTTGCCAGGTCTTACGCAGTAAGCTCCTGTTGCATTGCTGAGTCCAGTGCAAGCCACGCTCAAACCGGTGACAGAGGCGGAAAACTCGATCATCAAAGACACTTGTAATGGGCCTTTTCCAGACCTTGCTGGACCTGGGGTGTCATTGTAACTAATCACATCCATGCCCACTTGATGACTTCGCAAGTTGATTTGCAGCAGCCACAACTGCTATAGTCCTGTTCCTGTTCGTGTTCGTGTGAATACTTCGAATTTTCACTACGGCAGACTGCCATGGCAAACCCTCGACACTGGGGTCGCTCTTCTTCTCCAAAATGTGTTGGCGTCCTGATAGCGACAGGCCTTACAGGTTCTTGTTACTGAAACGAAGTGGACTGACCTCCATCCAAAATGAGCTCTCCATGGCAAGAGAAATCCGAGAGTCAAACCCTATTGAAATCAACCTCTAGCCACCATTGCTAGCGGAGCGTGCACAGCTGTAGATTGACTCTGACAAACAACAGTTGGGCTGTGCCACGCTTGACGTATTGCGTTGGAATCCGGACTCGTCGCTAGCTTGTCATTCTAGTTTTTCGCGGCTTCACTCGCTCAGACTGAGCAGTGGATCGGTCGTAAGGTCGCGTGGGAACCGGATGAGTGCTGACATGGTTTCCTGTACACGCTACTTGAAGGAGCTTGCTTACAGCACCTACTTACTCGCAAATTGGTGCAGCGTGTGCTACATGTGACCAAATGTCTTAGTTTTGCATAATCCTTGTTTTTCGCACCATCATGCTCACTAGTTATATATTGGAAGACATTTTGAAGGGGACAGAAAAGAAAAGTTTTTATAATTGACCAACTCAGGAACTCTACGTGACTATTCCAGTCTTTGCAAGATACACAACCACACAGCAAAAGGCACCTTGCCATTTTAGCACGCTGGGCCAGTCGGGCAACCTGAAGCAATTCACGCGTACCAAAGCGGAGATGTTCTCCGACAGCGTACGAAACTCCCCGAAACTCATGCTAAGCCACTTCTTGGACTTGTCGTCTTCACTTGGAATGGAAGCAATCTTCACGCACACGGATTCGCACAAAAGCTGCTCACCGCGGCTCAGAAAGCACTCAGTGTGGAAACGGGCAGGTCAAAGCAGCGGCCACGATCCTGGGTTCAAGTACGTCTGTTTGAGGGCTTGCTGACTTTGTGGTTGTGAGCCGGTCAGTTGGGGTCATGGCGGGCAAGTTTACACCTAGATGAGTTGACATGGAGTGGAGGCTTCGGATGACGAACGCAATTTCCAGCAGGAGACCTTCATGCCAGGAATGATACAAGAACAGCCCTTGGCTCTGTATCTCTGAGCCGCCACCCGAATTTCAACCCCAGCGCTGAAACCTCCGTACAAGACCCAAAAGGAGAGCCGGGCCAAGCATCTCGGGGCTTTCCAGGCACTCCTTGGGAGATGATCCAAAGAGCTTTAGGGGAGAGAGTTGCTCTACCAAACTGTGGCTTCTCAAGGGGTGTTGAAGAGTTTCTATGGCCCGTCGCGGCTTGCGCGAACCATCTAGACCCTCCAGAGCTTTCGGGATTGGGTGCTAGGGTTTGAGATGCTTTCGCACAGCTGGTTTCAAGAGCATGCACTTTCCGGCGAACCCCTCAACAGGCCGTAACAGACTTATGCCGGCAATCCCCACGACCCAAACCCTGGATGGCATGCGAGAAACATCCAAAAGCCCAAAGGGCCCGTGTACTCAGTATTCATCGAGTTCATCGTCAACGAACAACATACACAAACCCTTGTCGTGGCTAGGGTCGCTGATGTTGAGCGTGGCGTTGCCAATCGGGGCAATGGCCGGGGGAGGCAGCACCTCAGTCAGTTGCCAGTGTCCAGGGAAGCGGGTGCGGGTGCGGGTGTGTTGCTTATTGTTGCAGCGCAAGCCATGCACGGTCCCATCGTCCTCGCATGAAATTGCTTTGCAAATCACAAAACACCCCCCCCCCCCACACTTCCAGTGCCTTAGTCTGCAAGCTCCTTGGAACCAAAACCGAACCTTGGGCTGGTTGGTGTCTGGTTTTTTTTTGAGCCACGCGCTCATTCGTCAAGCGATGGCAAAGGGAAATGGCATATTTGGAACCAACCAGCCAAAGTTTACAGCGGTTCGCCACGAAGGCCAAGATGCGCTCCAATCCACCACTTTGTCCACACGCTTCTCGTGCTGCACCTTCATCCTTAGATCAGATGCGACTGCATGGCAGCGTGTCGAGGCCTGCAGTAGCCAACCATTCTCAGGCTTTGTGGTGGACGTTGATGGTCATTGCCAAGAATCCACAGCTCCTTGCTCGGGCAAGCAGGCCTCTTGTGCCTCAGGTGCTTCAAAAGCTAAACCATGAGCCAGCCTTTTACTCTTACCAGCATGTGGGCCATGCGCGGGAAGTCAACTTCGACCCCAAAAAAGCAGATTCGTCAGATTCGTCACCTCATCCGGTTGAAGTCAAAGCCTGACAAAGTGCACCCCAGTTGCTTGTACTCCATGGGGGCCACGTCTGAAGGAACGAAGCTACACTTGTCGACCTGCGGTGTGGTCTCGAGCCTATAGAACAACCCAACCGAGTCTGGAGGTGTGCTTGGCAGATGCCAGTCCGCCCACACCATTGCGCACCTCGCCGGCCGGCGCATCCCAGGTGCTGTTCACGTCGTACTTCTTGTACTGCTTCTGCCTGCACCACATCGCGGAGGGTAATGTTTTCGGGCGCTTGCGGATAAGGCTCTTTTGGGTAAAATTCCGGGAAGCAATCAGAGCCATGATGGAGGCATGCATAGGCATGCTGGATCGAGCTTTCAATGCCAAGGCGTGGTGCCTAGTGAGTCTGCTGCTCCTTTGCATGCGGATGGGCGGGCTTGGAAACGGGCACATCCAGGCAAGTACTGTCGAGGTATGCGGGCTCTCAAACAAATATCTAAGGATCATACCCTTCATTTGGAAGAGATGCACGACAAGCAGCCCTGGCAGCCACAGTAGCAGCCGAGTGGCAGATTGAAGTAGTTGTCCAAGAGATAGAGCTTATCCTGCCGGGAGCTGGCAGCATATGTACAACGCCGCGCATGCGGCGCGAGCTGTCACAAATGCTTGATGCTGGAACTTTGGTGTGAATAACATTTGCTTGAAGGGAGGACGGGGGAAAAAAACCGAAGCAGGGTAGCAGCGGGCCGATCCCGGAAGCCTGGCCAGCGAGGAAGCCCGGAGACAGTGTGAGGCCATACTCCTCCTTGTCCTCAGGCTCGGGGGGCTTTACGCTTCGCTGCCTGGGCTTAGCCTTACGAAGGCGAGTATTCTAGAACGCACAGGCTTCATTTCATGCGAGGGCTCCAGCGGGTTCTCAGCCAATCTTCCACGCCCATACGCCCATGACATCCAAGGCCCTGGCCATGGACCACTGAAACGCAATGGCGCCGCTCATAAACTGCCCCATGTCCTGCAAGCCATCTCAAAAACCAGGTCTCCAGTGGACAATGCTGGACAATGTAAGGGCTGCAAGACTGGCTACCAGATGTGTGTGTGTGTGTGTGCTGCAGGTAGCTGACACGGTACATGCGGGTGGATGCCCAACTTGCGAAGTCCCAGAACATCCCAAAACCCATTCTGCCCCACTGTCTGCTGTCGCCTCGCCAAGGAAGTGCTTCACATCTGGCCAAGTTCGGCCATCTGAGGAAAGCGAGGTGGCTTCTTGTGGTGCTTTACATGTACAAAATGACAGCTTGTCTCGGCTCATGCGCTTTAGGAGGCTGCGTGTGTGTTTGTGTGCTTTTGGCTATGTCGGCTATGTCGGGCGAGGTGCACCTGCGCGCGCTGTTTCAGTGAAACCGACAGTAGGGGTCGTATGTCGTGCTGCCGTGCAACCAGCATCCCCCCTCAAAAACCGAAGTGCCTGGGTATGGGCATTTCGTCTTGAACTTGCCCAGGTTGCAGCCGAACCTGACTCGATCGTAACGGCTCAAAAAGGTGTGGACAAAGCCAGGGCTGATTTTGGCTGTGCTCTCAGGGGCAACCGCTTCATGCTTTTCCTTTTTCTTCGCTCCATCGCTCACCTCAAGTCTTGTGACAGCCGCAAACCCTCGTCTGCTCCCATCCCAGCGGCTCGCTGAAAATGAAAGGCACCGAGAAGTCCTCGAAGTCCTGGAGAGCGACTTTAAGACTTTAAGGCAGCTTCTGGTGCTTGTGATTCTTTTGTCGGGGGCGAAGATGGTCTCACCGCAGAAACAAAGGCTTTTGTTTTGTTCTCAGGGTTGTCGGCATAAGAGGTTTTCTCCGCTCTTTTCGATCATAAAGCCGTCTCGCTGCGAATCTACTTTGATTCTCTCAGCTTAACCTTTCCTCTCTGAAGCCGCGAGCTTCGAGCTTAACGTCCCGACACGCCCGTCTCGTTGTTGAACACATCTGCTTGTCTACTTGAGCCCGTAACGGAACCCGTTTTCCGAACCGTAATCGCACATTCCTTACAGTTCTTTTTCTTAGGTCTTTAGGGATGTGAACCTGAGCGTTGAAGCACCAGGTGCCAGTCACGACGTGCCCGTGTACTGCAATTGCCTATATGTTGCGCTTCGTCCCGCAAAGCCCGGCCTGCTTGATGTCCTTGTACGGAGAGTACTGGAAGTTGTCGGCCTTTCCATCCCCAGGATACGTTTCCTGAGCAAGAGGAAGCTCAGCACATGTTGACATACTTTCAGAGGGACTTACAACCACTATGGTTAACACCTGGGCCAGCCGAAGTCCAAACCAAACCAAGCGTAAAGAACGAAAATGGACGGCAGAGCGCTTCTCCGAATTCTCTTGTCGTTATTGGATGGCCGCTCTGGATTTCAACTGCTCTTCACCACTCCCAAAGACACAAGCTTGACATTCCCCAAGCCGCTTTCACTTTGGTGTGCTCTCACAAGCTCCACGATTCAGCGTTCGGGGTTCAAAGTACTCTGCTGAGCTGCATCGCACCAGGAGTAGACATTCAGGCCATAGGCATCCACAGCATCGGCGTCGCTGTCCAAAGCGCAGGTCAGGTAACTCGGGTGTTCCAAGGCTCAGGACTGCTGGACCGCCACATCCCACATGCCCAAGGCAACAACCGACCCAGGAGCGGCAACTTGCACGAAAAGAAGCTTCGCTCAATGATCCCAACAAGGCCCCCGCTTTTCTGCCTTATCCTGAGCCTTCAACCACAAAAAGAATCGAGCGGATGAAGTTCGCTCCAAGCAACTCGGCCACGACCTGAAGCGCGGTGACAAGTCAACATGTTGAGGAGCTCTCTAACTTTGGCCTTCTCGCGAGGCATCCTAAAGAATTCGCGCGCATGGGCCGCCACACCCGAAAACCTCGCTTCAGTCGTCCGACGAGCCTTCCGGGCAATGCCGCCGCCGGTGTCGACATCGGAGTAGATCAGCGGCACTTTACCTCGGAAAGCAAAAGTCCCGAGGCTCCGAGGCTGGTCCCGAGGCTCGGAGCTGCACGGGGCTCTTCGGGGCTCTTCGGGGCTCTTCCCACTGCAGGGGGCTCTTGGGGCTCTTGGGGCTCTTGCGTTCAGGGTGAGGTCGCACTCTTGGCGGTCTGACGCACTCTGGAACCCCCAAGACCACCTTTGGGAAATAACGGCAGTCCTGGGAATGTCCCTCGGTTTTCTGACTGCGGATTTGCCAGAACAAATCTACGCTGGGCTGTTCTCCAGTAATGAAGTCGCACACTGTTTCTCGATGCCGGCGTAATGACTGGAAGCAATATTTGGCTGAGCAGACGCTTGTGCTGTTTTCAGGATGTTCCAGGAGGAGTCCGAAACCCAGGCGAGCTGCGCATGCTCTCTGCGCAGTCGGCCTCGCTCTCTCAAAGCGGGTGATGCTTCACGGATGCCGAAACCATCCAAAGCCCAAATGCCCAAAGTATCGGCAACGGTTTGACCAAAGTGTCGAGCTTTGGAAAGAGCTGCTGGGGGGCAAAGCAAGATTCGGGCGAGCAGCGTGGCACACAACGGGCTCTGCCGAATAGTAGTTACTATCCAAACTATACTGATCCAAAATCCTTGAACATCCCAGGCCTTCCGACCCTTTCCCTGCCTGGTAGTTGTGGAGGTCCCGCACAAATGCTTTGACACAAGGGAAAGCAGCGTAGCCGTTCCTGAGCACATCAGTTTTGGTCGGGAGCTCTGAAATTTTCGCCGATTGCCGAGTGCGCAAAGACTCTGGTAGGAGGCGGGAAGCCGTGTGATGGCTTGTTTGCATGCGATATAACTCTGCTACGTGAGACGTCGGGCACGAACACGTTGCGAACCGTCACTGGCAAAACGCTTCTTCGTTGATTCTCCACCCCTGTACTGACCTAATCACGCGTCTGACAAAGCGGGACTCTTCTCATAATCCCTAAGCCGCTTAAGCCCTCAGGAGCAGCGCTACGGAAGCCCCTTCTTGGGGCCCAGGCTTGTCCAGCTGCGCAAGCTCGTTGGCCGCCGTGAACAGCAGCGTATTGTTGTATTGGCTGAACCTTGGGGGATGCCATCGGTTGAGGCATTTAATGTATTTGGGCTTGGCATTCGTGTAGGGGTAGGAACTTGGGTGCTCAGCTGCCTCGACGCTTCGGAGCGACGACGCGTCGGAGCACTCCGGAGCTGATTTTCCGCGAAGATCATGAGATTTTCTATCGAATGCCTCCCAAAGCCTCTACTGAGCTCCAGCTCAGGCGCTCCTTCATCAAAGTCTTCGCAAAGCCAAGCAGGTTAACACCCACGTTGCCGTAGTCTTCCAGGTCCTCCGAATGGGAAGGCTTGCAGACTTGGCAATTGCATCCGAAAATGCCCAGTACTCCTCGACACATGTGGTCTACAAGGTCTAGATCTGCATGCCTGGATCTATCTATCTATATATACACACAAACACACAAGTTTGCGCAATCAGCTGAAGCCCAGGGCGCCGGGAAGGTTGAAGTGAATACGAGTACAGGTGTCGGGGCCTAGATGTGAAAGATCGAACATCCCTACACTGCAGCCGTGAAGCGTGCAGCCCTGGAATAGCCCAAAATAGGGACCCAGAGTGTACAGACTATACCGCTGCGCACCTTCGTGTAGCACTCGGGAGCTGGGAAGGCGGGTAGGAAGCCATAGTCCTTGGTCGAGCGGCAGATCACAGCTCGGATTTCTAGTCTCGACATTCTTGGTATACATATGTATACGAATATATGCATTTACTCTGCACTAAGGAGCTCCAAAAACGTCTCCGGGAAAACGGGCTCGGTCGGCGTAAATGAGCGGCGCGCCCGGGCAGCGCGCTGCGGACCATGGCGGTCGGATTTCTTGGCGGCTCGCAAAATGCCAGACTGTCACCGCTTTTGGATTCTACACGAAATGCGAAATTATCGTCACTTTTGGACTTCTAGGCTGACGAAATGTGAAAGCTGTCGCCGTTGTTAGACTTCCGGGCTCACGAAATGCGAAACTGTTGTCGCATTTGGACGTCTAGGTTCGTGAAATGCGAATCTGTCCTCGCTGTTGGTTCCTGACACATCTCATCCAGTGAATTCCTGACGCATCTCGCATCGCAATCATTTTTTGTTGTCCGTGTGTGGCGAGTTGCCGTGCGCTTGGAGTGCTCCCATGAGCCTAGAGACCCTTGACGTGTTGTGGGGGAGTTTCTGGGGGGCTTCTTTGGGCCATTGTAGTGCTCTTTCGTATGTGTATATGACCTTTTTTCGTTGCCCCCTGCACAGCTTGGCAAAAGGTCTGGGGTTTGGAATTCAAAGTGTCGCAGAGTCTTGACTGTCTTTGGCAACAAACCCGGTGCACGTGCCAGACGGAAGCACAGGAAACCGCTGGTGCCAAAGCTCAAAACAGTGTAAAGCTTCACACAACCTTGTGGTGCAACACAAAGCATGAAACATCCTAGGCCATCCTAGAAATCGACCTGCACCCCTCATCACCATCAGGCTCAGGCGCCTTGCCCGTCAAGGGCACGATCACCTCGCTCCCGCAAGTCCGGGATTGGGAACATCTCAAAAAAGGTGCAGGCTTTGAGGATGTTTAGGATTTGATGTGTGTCGTGGCCGGGCCGAGTGTTGGGTTCGTCAGGCGAGTCTTCAAAAGGCTGCTACCTAAAGGCCCTCTAAAGTTCGCCAACAAGAATCACGAACTCAACACAAGCTCTTGAAGCATCCTTAAGCCCTAGGTCTCGTTGTGAGCTGAGCGGCATAGATACCCAAGGAGGCTGCCTTCTTCATGAACTTGGCGTGGCTCTTGCGCGGATCCAACTCGGCTTTGACTGATGCAGATCAAAGTCACACTGTTCAATCAGCTAACTTTCCGCACGCAGATAAATGGTTCTCCGATTTGTTCATCAGCCACAGACTTGCTGCATCTGCCCATGTTAAAGCCAGAGGCGCCGTAGCCGTGGCAAAGATTACCAGAAGTGCATCCTATTCTGCTTGCAGCTGCGGAGGCGTTGTACAACCTGATGGTATTGGCGCCCATGTCGGCCATCCTGGTGGAACCCAATGTAGCAAACTTATCTGAGGTAACTCACCGGCGGAGATCTGCATGTGTGAGAGTGCATTTGATAAAGAGCAAAACCCCCAGCGTGCCCACGCCATGACTGCATGCTTACACTTGAAGAGCAAATGGCCCCATGCCAGAGATGGTCCTAGGCTAAGCCAAGAAAAGTCGTCAAGCTATCTCTGGGGTGCTGGAACCCACCACGCATCCCACCAAGCCGACTGTCACTTGAGACATGGCATGCATCAGGGTCTCAGGGCGTGCGTATTGTGAGGTGCCGTGAAGAACCCAACTATCGCCTAACTCGGGTCCAAAATGATCGGGAAAGCGCCGGCCTATTGGGCATGGAACAACAAATTACGTACTTTGGCGAAAAGGGCATGCGGCCAACGATTCAACTGTAGCCAGCCGGGGCTCGCTTCCAAATCTTCAGTCCAGAACTCCTGGACAAGGGCTTCAGGGCCTTCAGGGCCCTTCAGGTTCTTGGGCAGGGACTGCCTAAAGGGACGCGGGTACATCGGCAGCTGAGTGAATTCGCTCTGCAAAGCCTGCAGATGTGCAACGGGTTGACGCCAGATCTGTTTTTGTTTTTTGTTTTTCGAAACTTGTTCCGTCTCTGACTTCGCTCCAGGAAAATTTGTGCCTCGCCGCTCCCAGCCATCCTATCTGGTCAATGGTTTTGGACAGAGTTCCTCTCCCCTTGTAGCCCTTCGTTTTCAACTCACCTGACCACCTGCTCCTTCGACATGTCGACTGCGCACAGGCTCTGAAGTTCTGTCGATGCGCTTGGTGCTTACTATTCCGGAACCAAACGTGTCCTCCTTGTCATCCTCGATGACGTCGGCAGTGTAGCCCCAGTAGCCTCCATATTTAGAGCCGAAATCCAAATCCCTGCAGCTATCTGCAACTCAAGTCTGCAAGGAACTGATTGGTTGAACCTCGAACTCTTTCCGAACTCCTTCCTCTAGAAACTCGAAAGTCATCGGAACCTCAAAACTTCCCAAACCCACACCTAAAACATCCAAACCATTCTAAGTCCCCAGGAAGTCCCAAAACGCGCCTCCCTTGGGAGTTCCTGGCACGCACTTGTCCACCCAGCCAGCGATTTGCACCGAATTCCCGAAGGAGTGATCGTACTTCCTTCAAAGGGGGAGGGGGGGGGAGAGGTATCAGATAACGGGCAAAGGAGAGGTAATTTGCATGTGGTTTTTGCGCTTCTTGAGTGTGGGGGGTTTTTGGATGCTTCCAGAGGCTGTTGCGGGGACGAGGAGTTGAAAAGAAAATGGATTCAATGGGACTTCGTTTGATGTTAGGGAAGCTGTGATTTGAGGGCAGCGCCATTCCCTTGGAAGCTTCTGGTAGAAGGTCGTATGAGTGTGGCTGATTGCAGATTGTCTCCATCACACAGCTGTCGAGGCCGAGCGACTCGTTTCTTGGATTGTACGCCACGCCCTTGGCGAAGAAGCGCTTTCCCGTGACCTCAGAACTTGCAGTACCGAGCAGCAACATCGGCACCAACTATTCACGACCCCGCTCCACCGGGCCATTGTCATAAAACCCTACTCCCCCATACAAGTCCTGAACCTGTCTCTTTATGATCCTCCGTCCTGCCGGGCTTCGGAATCATAGAGGAAGTTGCCCCGTGCGATGATCGGATTCAGTGTCTCATAGGTTTTGGGCACCTGAGTCTGCAGCGGGCCAACATCTCTTGCAAAGCGGGAAAGCCTAACCGCACATTGCACAACGTGTTTGAGTCTTGATTCAAGACCTGGTAGTCATACGAAACTAATCAGGACGAGCTGCAGGCTGCTTTGGCCGGGCAGGCAATGGTGCCTTGAGGGACGAACCCATTTCATTGACTCAGGGACAGCTCCCATCAGGCAATGCCATGTCATGCCCACTCAAAGGTTGACCTGTTGGGAGTGAGTCGAGAATCACACAAAGCCTTCCGGCTTCTCCAAGGAATGGTCTTTTGAGGCTGTTTGCTGTTCATCTTATTTGGCAGGCCTTTTGCCACATTCCGCGTGCCAATCTTTAAGCCCACTCTTCTGGGACGTGGGCCAGGCCCTGTCATAACGAAGTGACTTCCGTCTCCAACATGGGACGGAAGAACGTATTTCGCGATTATAACTAACTTAACAATGAAACGCCCCGTAAAAACCAAACATTTTATAATTAAAGGGGCGTGAAATTGAGTTCGTTCGTTCACTACATTTCTTTAATTTGAAAATGAAAAGAATAAAGTGCGAATTTATATTTTAGTGGGCCTTTTAAGTGAATTATATGAAGCTAGAATATTTAGTAGTGCAAGGCGCCCGCATCACCTGTGCAGCTAGCCACCTCCCGCATCCACAAGCCCTGAATATCCCTGAGCCATGCAAAAGGCCTAAGCCTGTGATCGCGGACTGAACATGCCGACTTTGTAGCTGAAAGCTCCGTGGAACCTGGAGCCAAGGATCCATAGTCTTCGTCGGGGCCGGTTCCTCGGTTTCTTCTTTGGCCTTCCAGGGGCTGCGGGCTGCACGTTCTGCTAGTTTTACGAGTAAGGACTCATTTTTTTTGCTTGTGGCTCTCGGGTGGAGAAATACAAGTAGTGGAGAAACCTTTGGGTGGTTGACGGGAACCGGTGAACATGTTAAACGAGAAGTGCAACTTCTGCAAGGTTTCCCGAACATGTGCGATGACCTGCTTCGGCACCTGAAGACCAAAGCGGGGGGTCGTTATAGGGGCTGGTCGGGAGGCTTTGCATAACAAGGGAATCCACCAAGAGAACCTGCTTAGAAGGGTACCGACCCCCCCAGAGGCTGACCGGGTCCTTGTTCGTCTCCGCTGGTTCGGGCGATGGCGCCGGTGCTGCGGCTGCCGCCTGCGTCCCCAAGTGATATCAAAAAACAAACTTTGAGAGCTCAAGCTGGCTTGGGCTTGGGGAGTTGGAATCTTCGCACAAATCTAATGTCCGCATAGGGAAGATGTATATCACATTTATGTACGGTATCTGTATATATATATATATATATGCTCACCCCCCCCCCCTCGACAGACCCCCGGAAGCAAAAAAAGGGCTGAGGGCGCGACGGACAGCATAGCTGCACACAGTAGCCAGACACGTTAACAAACAATAGAGATATATGGTACCCCCCCTCCCCAAAGATCTATACTTTTTTGCTTTGCTTAATGCCTTTGATGTTTTTCTCTGTTGTTGTATGTTTTTCTTTTGTTGTCTGTTAAACCTATGTGTTTCTATTTTAAAACCCTTATTGAAATATTGAATGTCCAGAAGGGTTGGCATTATTGAAACCCTTATTGAAATATTGAATCAACAAGGGTGGTCATTATTGAAACCCTCATTGAAATATTGAATTTCAATAAGGGTTGGCATTATTGAAACCCTTCTTGAAGTATTGAACTTCAATACGGGTGGTCATTATGGAAACCCTTATTGAATATTGAATTTCAATAAGGGCGGAACCAAGAACTAAGAACTAAGACTGCCAGGGACTCTTGGTCTGAGTTCTTAGTTCCTAGTACAGCCCTTATTCAAATTCAATATTTCAATAAGGGTCTTAAAATTGAAACACATAGGTTTGGATTCTTAGTTCCTAGTACCGCCCTTATTGAAATTCAATATATTTCAATAAGAGGTAACCCAGGAACTAAGAATCCGTTTGAAAGGAATTCCTATTGGTTTAGGCTCATATTCATTTAGTAGGATTCCTACTAATTCTTGTTAAACGAATCTTATTTTTCATAGGAGTCCTATTAATTCCTATTAATCTTCACTGCGTTCTTTTGATTTGTTAAGGGTTCCTATTCAATTTAATGGGCTTTCTACTAGCTTCCCCGATAAATTTCGTAGGAGCCCGAAAGATTCCTACTTATTTTCATAGGATTCCAGTGAAGTTTCATATGGTTCCTAATTATTTTGATAAAGCTCCTACTACTGCAATAAGACTCATATCAATTTCAGAGCTCTTACTCATGATATGTGGATTCGTATTAATTTTAATAGGGATCTGATTCATTTGAAAGGGATTCCTGTTGGTTTCGGCTCATATCATTTTTAATAGGATTCCTATTAGTTAAGGGTTCACATTCGTTATAGGAGTCCCATTGGTTCCTATTAATTGTAGTAGGGGTCCTCTTCAGTTTATTAGGATTCCTATCAACTATCATAGGGTTCTCATTAACGTGGGCAGAAGCGCAGCATCAAGCACTTTTCCTCGCACTTCCGTAAGCAACTCCAGTAGCTGTTGCTAGCATAGCTTTCTGTGTTTTTAATATATTTCATATTTCTCATGAGTGTAGAACCCCTAAAAGAATCTCACCAAAACCTGAGTTTCCAAAAATCCAAAAATCCAAAAATCCCAACCCAAGTTTCGGATTTTTGGAAACTCGAGGAATTTGCTCAAAATCCAAAAAACCCCAAATTCCTCGAGTTTCCAAAAATCCAAAAATCCAAACCCCAGTTTCGGATTTTTGGAAACTCGAGGAATTTGCTCAAAATCCAAAAAAACCAAAAATTCCTCGAGTTTCCAAAATTCCAAAAATCCAAAAACCCCAACCCCAGTTTCGGATTTTTGGAAACTCGAGGAATTTGCTCAAAATCCAAAAAAACCCAAAATTCCTCGCGTTTCCAAAAATCCAAAAATCCCAACCCCAGTTTCGGATTTTTGGAAACTCGAGGAATTTGCTCAAAATCCAAAAAAACCCAAAATTCCTCGAGTTTCCAAAAATCCAAAAATCCAAAAACCCCAACCCCAGTTTCGGATTTTTGGAAACTCGAGGAATTTGCTCAAAATCCAAAAAACCCAAAATTCCTCGAGTTTCCAAAAATCCGAAACTGGGGTTGGGATTTTTGGATTTTTGGATTTTTGGAAACTCGAGGAATTTTGGGTTTTTTTGAATTTTGAGCAAATTCCTCGAGTTTCCAAAAATCCGAAACTGGGCTTGGGATTTTTGGATTTTTGGATTTTTGGAAACTCGAGGAATTTTGGGTTTTTTTGGATTTTGAGCAAATTCTTCGAGTTTCCAAAAATCCGAAACTTGGGTTGGGGTTTTTGGGTTTTTGGATTTTGGAAACTCGAGGAATTTTGGGTTTTTTTGGATTTTGAGCAAATTCCTCGAGTTTCCAAAAATCCGAAACTTGGGTTGGGTTTTTTTGGATTTTTGGATTTTTGAAAACTCGAGGAATTTTGGAGTGGTGCTCTTCCCCCCCCCCCCCCCCCCCGCTTCCTGGACAGATCGGAAATACAATTCCGGGGTCTGTCGAGGGGGGGGGGTGACCATATATATATATGTATATGTATATGAATATGTATATGTATGTGTATGTGTATATGTATATGTATATGTATATGTATATGTATATGTATATGTATATGTATACGTATATGTATCGCCAACAGAAAGGACGTGTAATGACGTGTCCCAAGCGCAGGCCGCGTGGCTTGTTTTGGACTGATGCATTACCCATTCGTCTGCAAGGAAAGTGTGCGGGCTGCAAGCGTGTTGGGGTTCTTTGGAGTGATCGGGCATTCTACCGACGTCGTTTTGAAGGCTCTGATCGAAACCATGCAAACACGAGCTGCCTCCAAAGATGAGTCCACCTTCGTCTCAAACGCTGATCTCCTATAACCTCTTGTCCTAGTGCACCAAAAACCTTCTTAAGCGCTTTCCCAGCTGTCGCGTACTGGCCTCGGGTTCACACTGCGAGTACCAGTCGTTGTTCTTGACACATTTACCGCCTCAGCCGAAAGTGGAAACGCAAAGCGAACGCCAAAGCGTTGGAGAATGGAACGTGTCTGGATGCATCTCGGGCGATGTCAAGAAACACTTGAATCCGGACAAACCTGAAGCATTGCTCCACATTCTACGACACTACTCCCGAAGTGAAATGAACCTGCTTGCAAACCTTATTCTGGCCTTCGAGTACCAACTCTCGAGCCCTGCTTAACACGTTGCAAAGGTCGGTCGAGCTGCCATCTTCGCAGTTGGTTGGCCCCTGTGTCCAAACGGCACAGCAAGGCAACACATCTAGCTTTTCAGGCCTTGAGTGCAAATGTTTTTGTTGTGCGTTATCATGGAGCTGAAACTGGACCTGTGCATGCGCGCGTGATCCCCTCCAACTTCGTGAAGGCTAAGGAGCGCATGACCTAGTACAAAACTCTTTGCTCTTAGCACCTTGTCACTACAATGCATGGTGCCACGCACAATATACCGTAACATTTTAACATCAAATGCAACACAACGCATGACAGGATTCAACATCTCCCAACTTGTGAAGTCAGGTGGGCTTGCGGCCCAGGATGACATGGGGCAAACAACGCTTCAAAAAAAAAGCCACACACAAACACACAAACAGTCAAACACACAAGCAGTGTTCCACCGTCTGCCTTCCACTTCGCGCCACCACACTGGCCTCATGGAAATATAAGTCTTGTTGGCGAGTTCACATGCTTTGGACGTGTTCTCCAAACTACATTGCGCTTCGCCCACGTACGAAAAATCACGAGACTTTAAGCCCAACCGTTCCGCACTTTTCAACCGATAAACGAACTAGGCAGGATATGATATGATATACAGACATCTAATACCACTCTGACACAACATGCAAACTACAGCTCGTTTAGGGGACACATCCAAGCAGCCGTACATCTTCGCGACTGGTTCCTTTTTCAGGAGAGCATGTCGCTGCAGCGCATTCCTTGGAAGCACAAAGCATGTTGACACCGCAAATAAAATGACTGTGGCAATCCCGTCCCCAGATCATCCCTCGAGCCCTCATCTTGGAATCGCCATGGTCACGGGCCGTTAGGTGCCGCCGGGAATCAGAGTGCACTCCTCGCTTGCGCACTCGCTATCCTCAACAGGGGTTGAGAAAACATCGGATAACCGCAGAAACTCTCGAAGCTATGACCACGGAACTGAAACAAATTCGTGATATCGATCTCACCATCCGAGCTATCCATCCATCCATGAAGCTGATCAGCCACACACAGGTTAGCTAGCCATGGCTCATTCGCTTGGCCAAGCCCAAATCTGCTACTGGGTAGGAATATGAAAGCTGCTTCGGACAATCTTTTAAAAGCGTCCGTCCATGATCCCTTAGGGTCTGCAAAAGGCGAGTGGGAACAACACCCCACCGTATGACTAAACACTTTGCCGCGTCTCTGCCGCCAGCAAGTCTGGGACTTGGTCCGCACCTGCAATTGTTTGAGTTTGGAATCGAGCTCCATCGGGTCTGCAAGCTTTGACCCGATCTGGCCTGCCGTGGCCAAAAGAGATCCGAAGCAAAGGCCTGGCACGTTTTGTTGATGCAGTCAGTTACATCCTCTCGTGTCTCTTGTGCAGAACCCCAAGCCTTGGATCAAACGTCGCACCATGTCGCTAAACGCTTTTCACTTTGAAAACTATAATGTAGAGCCAAAAGGTACCTGCGGAGCAAGCATTTGCACATAATTGTGTGTACAAGTGAAGCAAGCATGGTGGTGGAGTGTCCAACTAACAAGCACACTTCCCTTGACTGCGTCGGAAGATGTTCCGATAGAATACTCCTTGCTGTTGGCGTGTTGGCGTGAGTGTTTAATGGCCGCAACGTTTCAAGGGTGGTTCTTGCTGCAGATTTCCTGTGCGCAATTTGCTGTTCGCCCTGCCCCCCCCCCCCTGCCCCCCAAACAGCACACGAATGCAAGGTGTAGGTGGGCACGCAACATTTTGCGTCGCCTCCCCCTGCGCTTCTGTACAAACTCCGATTGGCTGGATTTCTATCGAGCCTGTGCCGGCTTTTGTTGCCGGAGTTGTCATGTTCTCCACGTTGGGATATGCGTAGTGCTCTTGACAGGGTGAAACAGGATGTTTGCTAGTCGTGCCAGAATGAGCTCTTGCCCGCCTTTTGCCGACAGTTGGCTCAGTAGCAGCTCCTATATACCAATTTACAGCAGAATGAAGCCTTGCGAAGTGCCATGCGCAGCTCTTCACTCAAGCCCCGTGCTCTTCGTACCGAATATGGTCGGAGACTCATAGCCCTTGACCATGCCGCTGGGTCTGCAAACCTCGGTGGTCAAATTCGCTGGATAGTCGGATCCAAGTGTGTAACTGTGCCAAGTGGCAAGCGAGAAGGCTGCCGCCAACAGAGCCAAAGCCATCACCAGTGTCAGCACAGCGGACATCGTCATGGAGAAGCCTGACAGCACTGGGACGACATGGGTCACATCACCATCTCATCTAAGTTCATGGCTTCTGGGTGCACAATATGCTGAGCTTTGCTGCCTTGAGGTTCCACGCGTGGAGTGCTGAGCAAGTGGGCCAATGCCTGGGATCTTTATGACTTGCAAAGAGTCGTCTAAGGCTTGGCTGGGGCTTCGCTTACTTGCATACAGTCATAGGACAGCGCCTTCAATGCAGGTACTGAAGCATGTCAGCAACACAGAGAATCGAAATTTCAAGGGTCAGGCTGCAGAAAAACACCCCACCCCCCCCCCCCCCCCCCCAAAAAAAAAAAAAAAAAAAACCTAATGAGTCTCCCGAATGTCCATCTCGTGCAGCGAGTTGCAGCTCCCAAGGCCCAGTCGATGTCGCCTCGGCATCCACTGGTATTGCCCCTATGGCGCACTTTGTGGACCATCATGGGTCAGTTTTATCTGGGGTGCCAGTGTGGCCAAGTAGCCTCCATTGATCTTTCGCTGTACCTCAATCTCGATGCCTGCCAACTCCCCAAATGTGTTGGAAGGCATGTGTGGGAAAGGCTTTCTTCGGGAGCGGTTCGCCCCTTCACCCAAGATGTGTCGGAAGGCAGGTGTGGACAAGGCCGACTTGTGGGACGGCTCTGTCCCTTCCCTACGCACACCAGGTGCGGCGTTTATGGCCTTAATTGCAAAGAATGCTGAACGATCAATATAAAGCCAAGCCTCAAGACTCCCCGCGGAGTCAAGGAAAGGTGATCGAAACATGTCTACTGTGGATGTATCTTAACAACCTTTCTGAAGTGCAGTCTGTCCGGGAGGGATCCGCCCTGCTCCATGTACAATCCTGAAATACCCCAGAAGCATGTGATCGCGCTTCGAGCCTGGGACGTCGACCGCCTTCAGGGCCCCAAGAAAAGCCAACCTGGTCTGGTCTGGGTGCGGTCGAAGATACTCAGCCCTGAGCACACTCTCGTGGATTCCCTCAACAGTTCTAGCATTGCTCAGACCATCCTGAAATCCTGTCTCTGCGTTTGGCACAGTGCAGGGGCGCCGGCTGGTACGAAAGCGCGAAGCAGGCGCGGTCTCCGGCAGAGTCTTGGAGGCTTTTGCCGCAAACTGCCTGAGGAGTGTTCAACAGGGGGCTTGCACGATTTGCACGATGAAGACTCGAAGATGCTATGCATTACGTTCTGCTGAGCAGAGCATGAATGCTCAAGACCGGACTGCTTCCTGAGCCTGCCTTCGCTTCCGCCTCGGTGGGGCAGACGCCTTCCTGGCTTCGCTAATTCCAAGTGCACCCTGAGCCGCATGAACTACAAACGTCCTGACATCTAAGATGTTTCGGGCGCCACAAACCCTAAATCGGAAGGCCTTCTTCGGTCCTAAGGCCTTGGCATCTGAATCAAGCCAATTCTGGCCAGACGTTTTGGCAAAGGCACCAGTGGGCTCACGAGCACCCATCTTTCTGACTCAGACTTGCAAGCTCAAAGAAACTTCCTTTGTCAAGCCTTTGTGGAGCTCCCTTCTGAGTGGCTTGCATCGGCAATGGCCGCATGACCCCAATCTATGTGAACTATTGCAGCTAGGTATTCAGAAATGTGCCCAGATGTGCCCAGCCAATGCCCAAGAGACCAAGAGTCCTTGTCCGGCAGCTGCAGGTCATTCCGAACGTAATAGAAGTTCTCCTCAGTTCGGATCATGTCGGGAGGCTACTTGGGATCGTGAGTCCATTAAAGCACCGCATGTCTCCTTTACAAGGCTCCAACTTCGGACCAGGTCAATCACAAGAGGCACATGCCATGCACCTTACGACCGCTCAGCTTTAAGCGCGACTTTGTTATGCCAGTGCAGGCCCCCAAACACTGGGAGACCATGTGATCCCAGAAGTCCACAAGCGACGACAGAGTCGCATTTGGGTAAGCCGGGCATCCTGACGTCCAAAAACAACGACAGTTTCGCATTTGGCGAACACAGGCGTCCAAAAGCGAGGGCAGTTTGTCAATGCGAACCACAAATGGCAAAAAACGATTGCAGCTTCGAGAGCGTGATTTTTTGTCCAACTTTAAAATGTGAGCAGGCGCGTGGCGAGTCCAAGCCCCAAGCGTTTCCCATGGTGACCTCGCCCCCAAAGCTGTAGGATGCAATACAGGAGCCAAATGCATACAAAAATCGTCCCCTTCCAGCCCCCACATGAATCGAAACTTTTCCAATTGAGCAGGCCCCTTCGTTGGGGTATTTGGGCGTCTGCCGTGCAAGTGCAAGACCCTACCCCTACCCAGCCCTTCACCCTAAACCCCACAATCCCGGGGCATGATCGCAGCTGCATCGACCTACACCCACTTACCCTCCACATTAGAAGACACACTGCTTGGGGAATAAACCAACTGCCCTTTGGCAGGATCTGGCAGGCCAGTGTCAGTCGCTGCAAACCGGCCACGGACAGGGAGCTCGTGCCTCAGAGGAGACTACGAGGAGGAATGGCTTATTTGACAATTCTTGACATGCTTGTAAATCCGCTGGGTTCAAACTCTGCTCGGTTGACAAGATTTGCCAAGGGAAGAGAGGCACGGAAGTCACTCAGGTGTGGGATTGTCATGAACTTTCTATCTTTCCAGGGCTGGCGTGGAGAGCACCCTTGCTGAGCTGCAAGTCTACTTTGGTGTCTGCATGGCCAAGCGAATCGTGCCAACCCAGGCTTCACCATCGCAGCACAGCGAATGTCGGCATTCGTCTACAGACCCCTTGCTGTGTTGTAGTGACATTGTAGTGATTGCAGCGACTGCCATCCTTCCAGCTGCTGGCCCAGCAGCTCGTAGCGCCCAGGGGCACTTCCTTCCTGCCGAGGCTTTGACAGACAAGGCATGCTTGAGAGTCTGTCACGAGAAGAAGAACGGCTGCAACCCAGTTCCCAGGCGCCTGAAACAGAAGGGAGCGAATGTTGGTCCGGCACTGCGTGGAATCACCGCTACCTGGACATCTGGATCTTTCAAGGATGCCCGGTGCAATTCAAAGAGTTGGTTGTGGAGAGGTCATGTGAAACATCTGAGTTCATAGGACGCTTCCAATTCCCATTCTGCGAGGTATTCGGTTTCCGCCTTGGGAGGCATAGCTCCCCGGCTCCACAATCGTATTCACACTGATTGGTACTGGACTTAAACGATTAACATGTCTGCGACCCAATCAAAACCGCGGACCCGTTCGGCCACACGGCGACTGACATGCGAAGTCCCGAAGCAAAACCTCGCACCGTCTGGTTACCACCTAGCTGCCGTTGTGCCGAGCGCCATTGCTCTTGACGCGCGTGTAGCCGATGGGGTAACAAGGGTCGGAACCTGCATCGTTAACAGAAGGTCAGGATGTGTCAGGGAATGTCATGGGCTACGGGCCATCCTCTTAATCCTGCCTGCACTGCACATTCCCAATCTGAAGTTGTCTGCATGGACACCGTATCGACTTACCGAAGAGCAAGTCAGTCCGGAGCGCAGCAACGGGTGATTCCTTCCCGAATCGGGTCCCAATCGTTCTGGGACCCTTGCTTTCTCCGTCCCCCATGGTGTCTTGCAGCTTGGATTGGGCGTAATCCTGACCGAATCCTTGGCTAGTAAGTCGTCAGCTCGTCAATGCAATGCTATGGGTCCAGTTGTCTACTTTTCTGCCACGTAAAGTTTCTGTGTGCCTTGTGCTGCCACAGGCCTTCTGGATTTTCTTTATCTGCAGAGCAAGTGTCCCAGGTAGCTGTGGGCGTACAGGGAGTACACCTGGCTTCGAAAGTTATACAGATGCAGGGCTCTCAAAACACTGAGGAAGCATAGAAACGCAGTGCCGATTAGAACGAGTCGAATTTCAGCCTCATCCTGTATGACAGACTCCGGTTCAAAGGCGAAGTACGTCCTACTTTGAGTTCAGAACTTACCGGAAACTATGTCTTGCTAGTCCTCCCCCTTGCATAAATTTCCAACGAGCAACTCGACCCATCCCTGTTTTGAACTGAAACTGGTCCACTTCGGCAACACGCTCCTTGGCTGCAAGCATACGGAGGAATGCTACAGCCGGAGATAAAGCACCAGAAGCAAATCAGGAAAGGCAATGCTTCTTCACACGCATGGTCCGCATGGTACCAAAATGAAAGCTCGTCGGTTCATGTCCGGGACCTTCCCTTCCACTGGGCCAGGATGCGAACTCGTCTGGCTGCACTTCGAAGGTCACCTGACCGGGCGTGCAAGTGTAATGTTACGTGGCGAGGCTGCAGACTCGAGCAAGCTGGACCCTCGAAATCCTCAGGCAACCTGTTCACTGTTCCTGCTTTCCAGATAGTCGATTCACACAAACTAGGCTCGCACACCCTGGCACCTGAGTTGACCCACCGCCCATCTCGATCACGCCCATGGACGGGACATCGGCGTTCTTAGATTGCAACGTTGTGTCAGGGGGTGCATGCCCAAGTGTTACCTCCAATGGAATCAGATCTAGAACGAGTGAGTAACCCAAACAGTACCCCTGCGACGTTGGTCCGTCAGCTTGAAAGGATCAAAAAGAAACCCTATACAGTGTTGATTGAGTAGCCAGTGCATCAGAGAGTGTGAGGTCCCTGACGCCGGGCAAGCACAGACCAGACCGTGACCCGAATCCGTGGGCCCTTTCAACGCGCAGCCACAAGAAACAGGGGCTGCGTAAGTACCGAAGTACCTGTGTTACGAAGCCACGTGGCGACTTCGAAGCTGCCCCGCAGGTAGTTCGCCGCGATCCAGGCCAGGGCAGCCTCCTCCTGTCAGATTCTTGCAGCTGTAACAACGCTGCAGGTGCATTGCTTGGCTTTGGGGTCCCATGCGTGTTGGGTCTGGACTCTGGGAATCTACTTGACTTGGGCACCAGTCCTTGCCCTTGATGATGTCGGCCCAGGCCTCAGGCATCTGGGGTGAGCCCAGGGCGGCTCAGGATGTGGCTCATGATCCGAAACCTCCCCCGAAGCCCTGGTCATGGGCTTGGTGCAGGGTCCCCGGGCTCACCCCTACGCGGAGTCAATGGGATATCGGTCTTCCAGAAAAGGCTGGGGGCAGAAGCATGCCGAAGAAACAATGGCCGGCAACAATAAAAATGTGAAGTACTATGATTCGTTCATGGTTGTTTTGTGACACCAGAAGAACCCCAAAAAGGGAGACGTAGACACAACGCGGCTACTAGATCGGTTCAGTCGGCCGTGTGCAGCACCCTCACATGATGTTTGACGCAGGACAGCGCTGCTTTTCTTCCTTTTCTGGGGCGCACAGCCTCCACTACACAAGCTCTCCAGCACCCAATCGATCCAAGAGGGTTGTGGTTTCGGGTCGAGGGTTGCTCCTCGCCAGTTCCAAAGAGCAGGACAAGTGCCAATCTGATTTGTGCCCGTCCAACTTCAACGAGACAGGCGAGGTACATGCGTTGCGGCCTAAGTTAACTAAGTTAAGGGTTGCTCAGGACTTTACGGGAGCGTCTGTAGGTCTTCTGAAAGTAAAGGGCCTCGCTGGGGCTCCGTGAACCAGTGCCTTCGCTTGCACTTTGAAAGGATCGCAGCAGCATCGCTTAGAAAAGTCGCCATAGTCCAAAAAAGCCCCCCCAAAGCCCAAAGCCCAAAGCACAAGACTAGCACTCGGGCAACTCATGAGGCGACTCATCACAAGGCCGGCTAAGGCCCCCTCTAGAGATCCCTAGGCCGTCATGTGGCATGATGCTGCTAGGAACTCCTGCCTCGGAGGTGACACGGGAAATTCAAAAATGCCACAAATACTGACCACTGATTCCTATCTGCGGCCGGGGGGGGGGTTCCTTAGAGCAGGTTAACGGTCAGGTTTACGAAGTTTCCACTCTCACATGGAAGGACGGCGGATGGCATCTGGGCGTTGAAGGATTTTGAAAGTGGGCTAGTTCGATGACTGCTCCCAGAACCACGTCTCTTTGCTCTCATTGTGCCACCAAGGTCCGCGATCGCTTTCGTACCTTTGCCAACCGCGCTCTGCAGCTGTGTCCGCGAAAAAGAACTCCTCTGTTTTGCTGTTGAAATACCAGGTCCGGCCCGTAGTGGGGTCCTTGTACGGCTTCCAGGATGTGTCCTGGATGCAGCGTGGGGTGGAGATGTCAAAGGACTGGGGTCCCGACTGGGGTCTGGTGGTGATGTCCGGACCAAGCTGGCCAACAGGAGGTGCTGTGGGTGCCTCGGGCGCATCTTGGCTGTCGCGCCATGGATGGTCAGTCTCAACTGGGCCGCATGCCGCGGAGGCCGAAGCGGAGTTGGAACCACATCCAGGGATCTCAGGCATCTGTTGTGCAGAGGTTTGCCAGTCCTGATGGTCCACCTTCGTCGTATGTGTGTAGGGTCTTGTCTGTGCAGGCTGGGGGGGCATAGAGCCGTAGAAGCTTCCACTGCTGTCTTGCTTGGGGAACGTCTCGCCCTTGCCACCTTGGCCGCCCTTGCCACCTTTGCCACCCATGCCACCCTTGCCACGCTTTCCGTGCACGTACCTGGCCCGGATCCGGAAAAAGCCCTTGGCAGGCTCCTCCAAGTCAAAGCGTTTGCCGTGAGAACCCACGCTGGTTTTGGCCACATGGATCACTTCATCCCTTGAGGCCCTTGGGCCGACTCCGCACTTCTGCATGAGCTCGTGTACCTGAATCCACCCACCCGGATCCACGGTGAGATTGTGCTTCTGCACTTCGTAGCGAAGGATGCGGGCCAAGTTCTTCGAAAGGTCTTGCTCTGGCGTGCCATGTGGCATGCCATTCATGCTGCGGCTCCCCAAGCAGTGTCTCAAAAACCTGCGTAGATGCGAAACCGCTTGAGCACAGCTTGCGCACAGGAAGACTGAAGCATGTCTAAGCCTAAGCCACGCCTCTCTGTATCCCTGAAGCCCGATGAGCCCCAAATGAACCCCTGTCCACACAGCACTCCGTTTACGTTGAAGCAGGCTGTCTGAAGCTTTCCCGCGCCATGGTGCAGACTGACAACCAATTCTGTGACCTATTTTCGACCTGACCTTCTTCGACTCTTCGGTGCTAGGCTGTGTCAAGGCACATCCTGGAACTGGTAGCCGGAGTCTTTCAAGGTGGAGCGAACCTTTGGGCAGGGGTGTTTCGCTGACCGGAGCTTGTCCATAATCCGGTGATTCAATTTTAAACCTATGCCATTGTAGGAATTGCGAGATTGATCCCGCAGGTATCCTGAGCCCCTTCGCGCAAATCAAGGTGCTCCTGGATGTGGAGGTGTGGAAGCAAAGGAAGGTGCCCAAGCGCCAAACGGACAGGCACATACAAACACGCATTGCTTACAGTTTGCCCTTGCCTTGGCTGGGCTTCCGCGCATCCACCCCAAGTGAAATAAGGATGGGGATCAACAAAAATTGGCAAAGGATCAAACAAATCAGAATTCTGTGATCAACAAAACACAAAGCATGCAGGGTCTTGGTTCGAAAGTGGTCCAAATACCGTAAATTATGCATTTCTGCCTCTTCGCAATCCTAGCAAATCTTAAGTTGCAGCGTTTCTGCCGATTCGAAGGCTCCAAATTAAATATGCTGTCCTCCTCCTAGAAGGATTTGATGTTTTTTATCTCCTCTCTCTCCCTCTCTTTGCTCTTTTGCTTGCTTGCTAAGCGGATGGCCCCCTGACAGGGACCGCCCCCGAGGGCAAAGAGAGAGAAAGAGACAGAGAGAGAGAGAGAGAGAGGAGCAGGAGCGGGGCGCGCCTTGGCGCAGGGCTTGCCCCTGGCCCCAAGGAAAGAAAGAAAGAGAAAGAGAAAGAGAGAGAGAGAGAGAGAGAGAGAGTGAGAGAGCGCCTTTGCTGAGTCGCAGGGCCAAAGAAAATCCTCCCCAAACCGGAGATCCGGGATATAAAGGTTCACACAACCCAACCGGTGCTGGAGTCAATGCACTCGTGAAAGGAGGACCACACTTCGGATAGACCTGATCCCCGGTAGCCTAGTTTCAGTGTTCCCCAACGTGTCGGTTAACCCTCCACCGCGCACCCGTCTCACAGCATCGATCCCGATTTGACTTTGTTGACCCCTGTCCCGTGAGCTCAGAAACAGCGTCTGCCATTGGTTGCCCAGGCGCTGTTCGCAACACCGCCTCTGCTTTGGCTTCAGGGACAGCTCGAAGGCCCGCCGTCGCCTGCAGGCCGGGGTTGCCTTAAGACAGGTTCTCTTGCTCTTCGAGAGCGGAGAGCGGCTCCTCAGAGGCCTTACGTGAGGGTTCGTGGGCTTGCGGCAAAGGCAGAGCGCTCTCGCGTAAAGTTGCTGTTTCGTTCGTGGGCGAATTGGAGCAAAAGGGTGTGAACAAGAATGCGACGAAGGCACTCTTCGTGGTTTGTTTGTGTATATATATATATATACAGTAGGGAAGAGTTTAGGGGCACCCTTTTGGTACATCTTGGTCTCTCAACCTTCAGGAGGACCGGGGTCGTCGGCCGCCGCTCGGCAGCCACAAACTTGTTCGCAAAGTTCACCTGGGCGACCGGCTCTAAGGTCTGCCGAGACCACTTTAAGTGCCACAAAGTGCCACAGCAAGAACATCACGGGATATGCATGAAAACGTGTAAAACCACACGGAGCGGGTTGGTACTTCGTTGAATTTCATTCAGGATTCAAGCCCGATGCATGCAGCTATATAGACAGTCTGGAATGTTTGTGGATGCTTGGCGCTCAGAAACACCTGTCCCGACTGCTGGTGGTAGTGGTAGTGCATGGCCTGTCTAGCTTCTGGGTTTTCCAACCGAAAGAAGACTGAAGAGCCAACTTGCGACTCCGTTGCCAATGACCCTCGCACCACCCGCTAAATCAGCCAAGCTGGACCAAGCTGCCAAGTCTTGGATGTTGAGCCGGCAGCCTGCATGGGGTGCAAGGGCCCATTTGTGGGATTGCAACGGTAGATCGCAGAGCACCGGTTCACTCTGAGTTCCTTCGAGGTCCTCCTTCTTTGCGAACTCCGAAAGCCCAGGCTTCACCTGGACGCAGAGTGTGGAGAAGTTCCGCTCTTTGGGAGTCAGCTGCGCAGCAAGACAGCCCAACCTTCAAACCCTAGGGCAAGGAAACAAGGCACGCAATGAACCCAGGTACAGCCCTCCTTCTTTTTTGTGAGGACAGGGTCGCCCTGTCGGGACAAGCAAAATGTCGAGCAAAGGGCACAGGCTCGCCACCAGCAACAAGCATGCAACACCCTTGCAAGCATGCCAAGCTAGACGGCACACAGACGAGCCATGTGCCCCACTGCCCAACTGCACCTAGTTCCCACTTCGACACGCAGGCAGACTTCGTCTACGAAGCGTGAGCCGTGAGTTGCTGATGGGCCATCTCCCGGGCCAACTCGTGCTCAACAAACTTCCAGCTCTGCCGGGTGCTCTTTCTCTTCGACTCCACTCCCAACAACTCTCAGGAGGCTTACAAGGCTTCAGGCTCGGAGGGTTCCAGAGATGTCGTTTGAAGACTGCCCTCATCTAAGAGGTAGTATGGAAGAGTATAGTATGGAAGAGTATGGAAGGTGGATCGCCTAATATCGCCTTAGAAGCCAGGTGTTTCATCCAAACGACAGATGCCCCCAGCTTGCCTTCCAAGTCTGCGCATCCCGGACGGCAAGGTCGACTCCTGAACAACACTACTTAGTCACTACTTTCTGCGCTGAAGCTGCTGGAGCTGCTTGGAGTTCCGTGATGCCTTGAGCTCCAGAAAAGAGTGGCCTCCGTGAACAAAAGCAAGAGCCCATGAGAAGCGATTGAAGATGAGGCTCGGGGCACGTGCGCAGCCGTGGCCGGCATGTACATGTTAAAGACATGGATGCCTGAGCTGAGTTGCGAGCCACAAACGCTCGTGGTCCGGGCCACCTACTGGTGAAAGAACGATGCGGCAAACTTCCCAAGGCACTTCTAAAAACGCCACCCAAACAGCACCCAACATCCATGAATCAACCGCAAAACGCAAGCTCATCAAAAATCAAAAGGAGGCTGAGAGGCGTGTGCCGCTACTGCCGGCGTCGAACACCAAAATCTGCTCCAGGCTGTCCTCACTGCCTGCAGGGTGATCCTTTAGAATCTTCCAAGCTTTAGCTTTCAGGGTTTGCCTGTCGCATGCGCTTCTTGAGTGATAGTGTGATACAGGGATCAAGAAGTGTACAGTCGGTTCCGATAACCTTTGCAGGTGAGGACACGGGGTGTACGGAGTGTGGCATCTTGCCGCTTCGGTCGTTGATGTTTGCTGAACCCCATGTGTCCCGCCCCTGTGGCCTCGCAAATTGCCGGAGAGGGCCCGTTGCTCGCCGGCCTCGGAGACATTGGAACTGCCATGCAGCGCCCTTTCGTCCTGACCTTCCACTGCCGTAGCCTTTTTGCCCCACACCTCCTCACAACCTGCAGAGAAGAGAAGTCGTCTCCCAAGTTTCACTTTCAATTGGAGCTTCTGACCAGATCTGATTTTGCCAAGTATCACTGTCGGGTGAGGGTGCCTTGGCTTGAAGGGCTTTGCGGCGCAGCTGCTTGGTGTGGGCATGGTGAGCCGTGAAGCCCGTGAAGCTGCAGGCTGCTCGAGCAGCAGCCCCCGAGCCTCCTGACCAAGATGCCGAGCAGACGTGGCACAGCAAAGAGCTCACCAGTAGTTGCAGTGGCCCCATCATTGAAACCTGGTCTGTCCGGATGCTTTGTCAAGATGCTTTGAGCACACTTCTCTTAGCAGTCTTAGCAGCATCTGCACCTGGAAATTCCCCTCAACGGCAAGGCTTCGTGAACAGGCCCGAGGCTTGCCAGAGACCGTACCTGCTCTGAAAATATCACGACCCACGCCAACCACCCTCTTGCCCCATACCAACAGACTGCCAGTCTGGACCCCATGTCTAAATTTCCAACCACAAGAAATGAAGCTTGCCCTGCAAAAATAGAAAGCCATATCTCGCCCCTGGCCAAGAAACTTCGGGGAGGATGCAGTCGTCGGCTGCAAAAACACTTCCATGCACTTTCCTATGTGCTCGAGCTGCTTTTAAGCAGTGAGAGCTCCTGAAGCTTGAGTTCTGGTGAGTCTAGTGAGTCAAGTGAGGCCGGCCAGGCAAGCAAGGCCAGTGGCTGTGGGGGTGGTGCTGACGAGTTTGTAACACATAGCCGCAGCAAATGCCAAGCCCATGATACACGGGTCAAGTGAGCGCTTGGGCCTCAGAGCAGCGGGAGTCAAGATTTCAGAATCACCTGCCCCCACTTTCCTCTGGCTCCCTGCCTGTCTTGCAGCTTAAGTGTGGAAGTGCTCAGCATCGTTCAGCTATGACAACCACAAGCAGCTGCTGCTCAAGCAGCTCCCTGAGAACTCCTTCTTCCCGCTCCGCTGGAAGCTGCAGGGTGCTCTTCCCCAGAGTCGCTGCCATAGTCGACCAGTGGCTGGGCCTTCATGGACATGAGCTGCTTGAGGATCCATCAACTTATTGAGGCTTTAGAGGTTTCACATGTTGGAAAAGGTTTTCAGGCAGATCTGAATGCCAACATACAACGTCAACATCAAGCTGCCTCAAGAAGGCACCAGTGAACTCACCATCCCTGAGTTGGTTTCGAACATGAATCAGTGAATCAGCAATCCCCCGTGACACCCGAAGCTGTGAAGCGCATTGGGCAAGCAGCAGCCATAGAAGTACGTCGGTTCACACCAGATGATTGTTTCAGGGTTCTGCTGCCGCGGCCCAAACTAAAAGCCGTTAACCTCAACTCCTCAACTCTCATGTCCGTAATCCGCCCTTAGCCACATGTTTTTCAGAGGCTTCTCTGCGGGGCCACCTTAGGAGCCCGCCCCAGGCACGAAGACGCCACCCCACGCCACTTCATGTGGCAACGGGTCACGCGTCAGGAAAAGTCATGTCGATGATCTCCTGAGGTATAGTGCCACCAGGAGCTATAAATCTGGCGCAATAGTCATCATCGCCATCAAACCACTCTCCACCCAGTGCCTTCGGCACATGCTTTGCAGGAATATGTCTCAGCAGTGTCTCAGTTGTCTCGCCTTCGTGCACAACTTCTATCTTGTCGATGGTTCCCTGATCCAGAAAAGGGCGGCACACACGCCAAATCAACGGAAAAATCCAAGGAGGTCGGATGATAATGACCCGCTTGAGGCCTTCAGGGTAGTTGTCCGACTCCACCCGACCCACCATCCTGAGTCTTGCTGCTTGTCTGCAAACTAAAGAGTGCAAACAACTATGCTCGAAACCCCAACAAGTACAGTAAAAGTCGAATTTGGCCCTTTCAGATGGACGCTCAGCATCTGGAGCATGGCAAGGGCGTGCCGGTCCATGAAGCTGAGGTCCAACCCATCCAAGTCGACCACCACAGTCAACTGAAAGCCGCGGCTGCTGCCTTTCCTTGGCTCATGGCTCAGGGAAGCCCTGTATCAATGCCAAAACGTCTAAGTACACGGATTGCACGAGGTCTTGGGATGTGTGGAGTTTCCACCATAGAAGCATGCAGCATGGTCTGCTACAAGTTTATGTGCTTGTCCAACAGGTCTCTTCAAGTTCTTTCGTCTTGCGAGTTCCAGGCTGGCGAAAACGCACTCTGCGTTGTAGATGCTGTGCTCCCGGATAAACTCTTGATTGCAATTCAGCAGGCCTTGCAGATCGTTCTGCCCCACACGCTCGTAAAACACAGGATCACCCTCATGGTCCAAGCCAGCATAGCCCAAGGGCTTCCAATACAGATCGAACTTCTCATGCTTGCCTTGATCGCTTTTACCCCAGGATGACAGCATGCTTGTTGCATTCTCCTGCCGCCACTCCAGCACTGAGTGAAGCATGTCCAAAGCTCGCTCAACATCGCACTTTCGAGCGATGAGAAATCTCAGCAGTACCTTGCGAACAATGCTTTTGCCAATGCAAACGAACCTTGCCGCACTCGGCTGAAGTGAAAGACATGGGAAGATTGGGCGCAGCGTCAACATAATTCAACATACATCAACCCATAGCCTCCTCCTAGGACGCTAAACAGATCTAAACAGGCGCAAAGCACTCTGGGATCTTGCGGCTGTACCCATCCAGAGCCAGGGAGATCGCCGCAGAGCACGCGCAGCTGTTGAAGCTTCTCCGCCACTTCCACGTGCTGCGAAGCATCGCGGATGGCCACCTGAAGGGGGCGGTTTGATACTTGATGCACTTAAAAAGAAAGCTGCTTTCTTTGCCTTGGTGCTTCAAAGAAACCGACAGAATGCCGGGGCTGCCCCCCCCCCCCCCCCCCCAGCATGACTATGTTTGCCAGCGGTGCCTCACATGACCCGTGCAACCCCCCAACATGCCTTGCCTGGATCAAGGCAGTGAGGTCCTCATCGATGGGGTGGAAAGTCAGGCTGTACATCTCCGACCTGGGGTGCCAAACTTGTTCTCGATCATCTCCTTTTCTACGGATGCATCCTTGCTGGTGTTGTCCCAGTAATTGATGAAGTCTCCGGTCAGCATCGTTTGTCACACCTCTGTAGGTTTGCTTTATGTGCGTGGCCGGGCATCATGCCATCCCTCCCTTTTTGCTTCCGAGCGCGCCAGCGAGCGACCAGCCAAAGCACGGCGAGAACCAGCAACAAAGATGCCAATGGCAGCGCCATGTCTGTCTTTCAAGGACAGATAGCTCTGCTAGGCTAGTTCGTGCTGAGAGGGATTTATTCTGTATTGAACGTCCGCCACTAGCTTACCGCGATGTGTTCGACATCAGGATGTTCTGACACGCGGTGAAGCCTGTACAGTCTTCGGAGACATGGGCTCATGCCTGGCGCGGGAAACCCAAAGACGTGTTCGAATACTTTGAGTACTTGTGCGGCACAGGGCCTCCTTTCCAGCCGGCTGGCCATCTGCGGCGCCTGCCAGGCTGTGATGCAGGTTGGGCGCGGGACGTCGTGCTAAGGAGCCAAATGCACAGGGGGTTCGTCCTTGCGAGACCTTCCGGGAAGCGAGACCCGAACTGTATTGTCCCAGATCATGTTCTGATTATTTCTGAAAGCCTTCTGCCTGGACTGCGAGGTTTAGGGTTTAGGGCTTCTCTTGTTCATGTCTCTCTATATCGGAGATAGTACTGATGCCGGCAAAGTAGATGCCTGGGTGGGGAAGGTGGGGTGGGGGAGGGGGAAGGGGCTCGGCATCTCCAACCGGTACTCTTCCCTATGCGCAGTGAAGGAAGCGGCAAGTGAATGTCAAGATGATCCTCAGCACTGGGCCCTCTTGTGCCGAGCGAGGCCGCTTTACGGCCAGCACGGCCCGGAGAGGCCTGCAAAGCAGCGTTAACGAAGCCACACCGTCTGCAAAGGGCGTGTATGCCGAAAAGACGAAGTTGCCGTGACAGCACGGCCCAGGAGTCTAGCAATTACCTGCCTTTTGAAGGCAGGCATAGAAGTTTGAACTCCAAATCACAAAGCCTTCTAACCAAACCGCCGAAAAGCACCCTGAACGGACCATCGGCCCTAAAGCTGCACTACTAGAATCTACTTGAGTTGCTGCTGACTTGCTGCCAGGATCACGCACCCAGCAGGACCCCTCCCTCCCCCCAAACAACGATCCTGTGTATATCATGGGGTATGTGTGAATTTACACGCGTGTCTTGCCTCGACATGTCTGCTCTCAATGTGTGCAGGCTTTGGGGCCTGTTTTTGTTTCTTTTGCAGCCCTGGGCCTCGCCGCCTCACGCGCCTCACGGGGAGCCTTCCACTCCAGGAGCTCCAGAGGGTCCTCAGAGGGCCCAAGCTGAGGTGAAGGACAGCTGCTGCTGCTGCTGCTGCTGCTGCTGGAATTTTGCGAGGAGATCGGGCTCCCTATGGCATTTGGGATGTGGTACAACCGTCAGCTTGAGCTGGCGCGCCTTCTACTCTATTCCCAGCTGGTTGCTGCAGCCTTGTGCAGTGCAAATCCTCTGGCCGAGCCCTTGAAGCTGGGAGTCTTGCCTCCATGGGCCCCTGACGTTGTCGGTCCTGCCGCTGCAGGCTTCGGAACGCTGAAAACTGGAAGGTCCGGGTTTGTCACCCCATGAAGTTTGTGCACACGCAGCCCTTGTATCCTGAGCCTCTGATCATTTCTGATGCCCCAAATTCCATGAAGGCCCTAAAGTCGGATGCCGGTCCTTGCGGAAGCATCGATCGCACCCTGTCATGTAAGCAGCTGAAAGGCAAGTCGTGGCCAGTCCGGCTGTTTCGACTCTTGGGTTCCAGAGGGTCGCGTCTGCCGCTCATGCCAAAAGCTCTGCACTTCAGCTAGAGTTCTCTTGAGCTCGGACAACGCCTCAACCCCCCCCCCCCCCCCCCCCCCCCCCCCCCCACCCCTTTTGGCGCACACCGCACCCTAAAGTAAGTTGCATACGGCTAGGCATAGGGCTCTATATAACACTCGGACTGTCCACGGCCTACAGCAGGACCATTGTTGGATTATCAAGTATTCCCCCCTACAGAAAGAAAGAGAATGAGAGGTGCAGCTTGTGCCAGGCCTGCATGTCAGCCGAAGCTTGCTGGGCAGATCGTATCCTGGGCAGTGAAGGTGGACTTGACGGAGCGATGTGGTCGTTGGGGCTTAAGCATACCTGGGCAACTGTGCCGGAGCAACAATGTTCCAATCTCAACAAACCGAGCCATACAAATCCAGAAATTCCGACAACCCTTAACTAGATGACTGTACTTTATTCTAGGATCCTGCGATCTCGCCAACTCACGACCCTTTCTACGAACCATGGGAAAGCTATCCTGTGTTCCTTTTGGCCACGAAAAGACATAGGAACACTAGCATTCGTGTGGGAAAACGCTTTCCCAATGGAATCTGCAAGCCCCTCACAAGAGCCCTCAGGATCTCTAAGCCCAGAGCGACTCATCCAGATGCTCACACCTCAGGGTCCATGGGTCAATTCTCATTCGGCCGCGCGGAATCTCTGCTTGATGGGTCCAGGACGCAACCGTGGATTGGATTCCCTAAGGTGTAGAAGCCCCTTGACCCTCCGTTGAAATAGATTTGAGTTTATCAGCATGACACCAGGCTGAGAGCTGAAGCCTAGGGGTAGTTAATGTTACCCTGAAAAGGTTGGTCTGGCGCTGGGTGGTCAAAAAACATGCTGTGAGCACGGGGGTCGCGCTGAGAGACAAAGGGGGCCTCTTTGCAGCCCCTTTTGGCTTCTTTAGGCCTTTCGAGGCACGGTGCCTAAGCCTCGATATTCCACAGATGGCAAACAGCTCAATTCACAGGCCTTCCAGTCTACTTCAATAAGGAGGCAAAGGCACAATTTGGGACCACCACCCCACCCACCCCCTCCTGTCAGCCGGGTTTCTAGACAGCCGCCTTATTACAAAGTACTCGGAAGCCTCGCAGGGGGCAGCCTTTCCGGACTTGTGTTGCGGCTGTTGTGTTTTTACGTGCTGTGTCTGGAGCTGGAGCCAAAGAGGGCACCTCCTGGTTTAGAAAGGCACAGAGGCAGTTGCAGCACTCTCTCGTCTAGGACTGCCTGCAATCCAGAGAGCAGGTTTCTCCAGTGCCGCCCTCTCTCACTGAAACAACAGGCCAAGATAGGTCGGAGTCATGAAGCAAACTTTTGGTCGAGTTCTCCAGGCCAAAACAGAGGCGGGGGGAGTTTCCTGAACTCCTCTGAAGCCCTTGCAACAGAAACCCAACAACTTCACAGTTCGGTTGCGAGGAAAGAAGCCCCCTTCACCTACGAATCATGGCGGTGATGCTCCGAACTCCTTTCAATCCGGCATCCCATATCCAGGTCCCGACATGAGGGCGCCATCAAAACTCCCCTATCGAATCTGGGTTCAACTATTGTCACATTTTATGAGGCTTGGGCTCCCCAGGCGACAGCCGCGGAGGTCCTGCCCGATCGGCCTGTCACAGCAAGAACTGGGTATTCATGGATGTCATCAGAAGCTGTCATCAGAAGCCGCTTCTGGCAGGCGCATCTGTGGGAACTGCAAGGTTCTCATGCAAGGTTCTTAGCCTCCCGGCAAATGCGAGAGGAAGAACTAGTCAGCCCAGCATAGCCGAGCTAAGGTCAGGCAGGCAAGATCGCAAAGCTGAGACCTTTTCATGACTGTACGTCCAACAGATGAGAAGCTACACGTCACTACAAGCTACTGCTCCAGGCGAAGCAAAATCCTCACGAGCTGCTGCGCAGTCTTTCGATCAGCTCTGCTTTCCGCCCGGAGATGGGAAGATTTCGCTTCCGCCTGGAGTTTCGGCAATGTTTTCAAGCTTTGTATGCTGCATGCTTCCAGTTCGCCAAACTTGAAGAACACTTGAACTGAGGTCGCCAGAAAGAAACTATCCGAAGCATGGTCTAACCTCCTGATCACCACAGCACTGAAAAACACGGCACCTCCTGTTGCAAATGCCAAACCGGGAGCCCACAAGCCGCCCTTGCCCGCGAAGAAGCTTCACGCTTTCCCGACGTGCCGAGACACAACATCTCCTTCAGTTCGATAACGGTCAGCTTCTCCAAGTCCTCCGCTCTCATGTGTAGGGTCTGCTCCAGAAGTACGCGTAGCTGCGCAAAGGAATCAGGATACATCAGGGTTGGTCAGGGCCTCGGGATCGCGGATTATTGGAGTACTGCAGATGAGCTCAGCAGCGATTGTCGGTTAGCCTCCCTTTCCGTGCAAGGGCTGCGGTCCAGCTCACATCTCACGTCCGCCACATTTTTGCGTGTCTTTTACAAGTGCCATCTGTCGGATTCAGAACTATCAGGTGCCAGGGCTCTGTGGTCCTGTTGGTTTTGTGGTGCCGCTGCCACCCCAAAGACTAAGACAAATACTAGGGTGCCTGACCTTAACTTCGACCACTAGGCTCGAGACTCGTGCACTCCTCTTCTTGGACGTCCTCGTCGCTCTCCTCCTCCTCATCCTCTTCCTCCTGCCCAGGCTTCTGCCGTGTCCACAGAGCCCTTTGGCGCAACAGATCTCCCTCTTCGACCTTGACACCGACCATCCCAATTTTGTTTTTTCAGAACTCCAAACTCTGTTTTGCGACGCCTTAAGGGCCTTGAGGGTCAACGGCAGCTAGTCTACCAAGCCCTCGTCATGTGAAACATTGACGGCACGATTTGCTCGGACCCTAGAGGCCAGTGGCAACCATTCCCTGCACAGATCGATGCCTTCTGCGTCTTAGGTATTTGGTAAATTTGGTAAGGACAACGGCCCTCCACGTCTGGCGAAAGGCCTCGTCGTCATAGTCGTCCTCTTCCTCTTCTGGATCCTGAGACTCGCCAAAAATGCGCGTCCGGTCCCCGACTTTTGCACACATGACCTTTTTTTAGCACCCGTCAGAACCCTCAAAAGATGCAAAGTGGCAACCCTGGACAACCATCCGTGACCCCAGTTTCGCAGACACCCCGCTCGAGAACCTGAACCTTTCATCCCGAATTTCGCCTTGACCCGAGTCTTCTTCTCGGCAGCCTTCTGGGCCTTCTTCTTCCTGGCCTGGCGAGGGCGTGCGCAAGAAAAGCGGCCGATTGGGGTTTTACTTCCTGTGAGGTCATCCTGGGAGGCCGTGCAGTAGGCGGGGCCTCCGGGATCCCAAGGGGCTCTGTGCTTCAAACAACTTAAAGTTCAGACCCGACTGCTGACTGGTGAACGGTTAAACCGTTAAACCCCTAAAAAGCCCAAAGTCCGCAAACATGGGATCAACCGCCTCCTCCTCGGCCCACTGGCGCTCGCTTTCCTCGAAGGCCTTTCCTTGGACGGCACTCGGGAGTTTTCGGTGTCTGGCCCCCAAGCACCTCAGCTACCTGGTGAACTCATGCAGTCGCCATGGCTAAGGGTCATGGGATTTTGCCTCTCCTAACCTGACCTGTTTAACACACCAGTGGCCTGTGATTCTGAGTCATTTCAGCTTGTCGGAAAACTGGAACCCCACAGCTGCCTCAACATGCAAGTTCGATCTCCCCCAAGCAACCTCACACAACGAAGCGTAACCGCCAAGTCGTGTGGAGCATAAAAAACTCCAGGAACTCCCCGTTCTCGGGGACCCCTTTCAAACTTTAGCCCTTCCGAGCTTGGCGTCGCCGCTCCTCCTCTAAACGTTTCCTCTCGGCCTGGCAAAAGGGTCATCAAGCATGTGTGTGAAGAGCCTCGGCCCTTCTCCCTCTACGGCGTCTGGCAAGGTCGAACAGATCTTACATGTCTGAGTTGTCACTACTTGAAAACCCCACACCACACGGGAGAAGACTGCCCTTGGACGATAGGCACCCAGTGCTGTCCCTAGGGCCTGAGCTGCCAGGTGCAAAAAATCTTAGAACCCCTCCCAGGAAAACGTCGTGTCGGCCTCCTTCTTTCGGAAATCTGCCCATCTCTCAGCATCCTGCTGCCTCTCCTGCAACTTGGAAGGTCAGACAGGGTCAATTTCAAATTGCTGCTAGTAACTTGTCAAGTTCCCATGATAGGTGTGTCTTTGGCTCTCGTTCCATGTCAGAAGCCCTGATCCGTCCAGTGTTTATCTACCCTCCTGGACTCCAGCCTCCTTCGAGATCTCAAAGGCATTCCTCAGATGTAGGGAAGCCCTCGCTGCCCTTGCCAACACATCTGAAGATCCCGCGCCGCCAAAGCCCTAAAGATCTGCTTGAAGGCCAGGCCTCGAAGGGCTGACTTTTGTACAAAGCGCCCGATTCTGAAGCCGAAAGCAGCAGCGGTTTGGGTTAGGAAAGCGTGTCTGGGGCTAGAACACAAAGTTGAGTAGTTCAGAAAGACGTCAAGGGCCTCACTATTACAAGCCAAGGCTCTGTGGGGGCCCTTGCCTCCAGAACATCTCCTCGCACGGAATGAGGCTTTCAGCCCGCGAGATGCTGCAGAGTTTGTGCCTGAAACGTGGCTAGAGCCTGTGTTGACCAGAGGTCCTCCTCTGTGTACTCTTTGGGGAAGGGGCCCTTGATGACGAAGTTGAGCTCTGGATCCGACCTGGGCATGTCAAGACGCGATACACAGCGATGCAGGAAATCCATGAGAATCATCAATGTCAGCTCTGCTGCTCGTTTCCAACGTAGTCGGGTTCTGGCGCCGGCTCCTTTGAAGTGTTGCAACTTTTTTTTGCAACCAGACAAAACTTCAAAGAACTACAGTATGCTACAATTGCAGCAGACCTTAGTATTCTGAAGAATCCGTGCTACGAACATCTGCATTGAGACCCTGGCGCGCTCTGCTGCAGAAGTGGCCAGCTCATGCGAGCACTGTTTGTACTGTCTGGCCCTTTTCTTGCTCCAAACCGAACACCTTCATTGCCATGCGGACAGTAGATCTGCATACCGCAGGCCGTATGAAAGACGGAACGCAAACTTTTAAGCGCCAAGGAAAAATAGGCTGCAAGTCCCAGGCGTAGCAGCACAAACAACATCCCCTTTCAAAACGAAAGAGCGACAAAGCCTCAAGCTGACAACGGCTCGCCATGCTTTGATGTTCCGCCCTGTGTCCAGCCGATGTTTTTGTGCCTGGTGCCGGATTTTTTGAGGAATTCCTTCAAAAAGGAGAAGTGCAAAGCCGGTCCTCTGGCCACCAATCCTTCACCCAGTCGGGCATCGGCACTTTGTCCGCATTCTTTGGCTTCCTGCAGATACGGGTACAGCTTCCCCTAGCTTGCGTATGCTTCCGCACGAACTACCTAGTCCGACATCGGGACCTGACGAGATTGGCATCGCTTGGCCATTACACCCACTCGACTTGCCATTGCCACTCAAATCCGCATAACTTCTCTGTCTTGCACTGTTTATCGACGTTTCAGGTCAGTGTTCGGGTGTCCTCAGATCGCGATACCAACATTTCATCTCGAACGCGTCCGTATCAAACTTGACCTGAAGCACGTTGCCAGGGATCTCTACCACACTCCTCTTGCGTGCAGCATGCCCTGACATAACCTTGCACAGCCGTTCGTGCATCTCACCTCCCAGACCCCCATGGCATCCTGAACAGCTGCTCGGGGGTCCCATATACAACTCTGGCCAAGGTGCACGGAAGGACCCGTCGTTGGGCCGCTCATCTGTCGGTGCACGGGACACTCGCGCAGTGACCCACCTGAAGTGTTTGAACGTTTAATTAAGGTCTTCAGCAGCGATGTGTCAGCCAATATACAGGTATCTTGGGATAGTGCATCCAACTTTGGCCTTCGAGGTTTGCCTTCCAAGCTGTTGTACATCTCTTATTGCTCCGCGTCGCATTTCCGATTTCCTGAAGCACTTCCTCTCCATTGCACTCTGAGCACGTTCGGCATTCGGTGGTATGTTTGTAGTTTGCTCGAACGTCGCGCAAAATCCGTTGCTTGGAGGCCCACGTTCCATCTCGCTGCACTTCGACCATGTCTCCGAGGAAGAACCTGAGTTCGAGTCAAGCTCTTTCCTGCGGCAGGCTGCTCATACCCTGCCGTGCCCGTCTTACATGATACTTTAGACGAGAACGATTGCGCTTACAAAAAAATGCGGTGGAATGTGGGCATGGCTTTGGCTCAGCACCTGAATGGCCAAACATCCGAAAACTTCCGAACGTTTGACCTTGAAGCATGTCTTCTGCAAGAACTGACGGGACACCAGGCACAGGACATCACAGGACTCATGTCTAAATCGACCTCCTGGCAGCTGGATTCCTCGCCGGCCGCCTTGGTACAGCGTCCCCGGCACGTCGTACTCCTTGCAGCCGTGGAAAGACCAGCTCTGGGTTAAACAACAAACAGTTTCGTGACTGTGGGGTAGTCTGTGCTGGTCAGGCCGGCTTGCACGGTTGTGTACCCAGCCCTTGCTCCAATCGTGACATGTGTTCTTCGTCCAGCTCCCCATGCTCCACGCCCCTGCCATGTAATTCTTGGCTCTGCTGACACAGCGGCACCATCTTCTTGCCTCTCTCATCTGCAAGCCAAGCCGGACCCGTCCTGCTTCTTGCCGAGGTTCTTTGGTCTCCTTGCTATCCAGACCAAATATAGGATAGGTACAGGGATCAATGCCTGTCACGAGTAAGGAGCTTGTGCGAGGCCAGCAGGCGCTACAGCAGGAAGCTGTTTTGGCACGCCCGCACCCAAAAAAACAACAAGCGTCGAAGCCCCTGCAGTCTCAAGTACTACACCTGTGGAGAGCCCAGGCCCTAAAAGCCCTCTGCATCCCTCGGCACTCTCAAAACCCTACAGGAAGCTCTTCACCAAGCGTCTTCGGCAGCTTCCGCCCTGAGGGCGTCGTCACGGCGAAGCTGCCGCCGCGGAGGCCTGGCTTCTAGGGATTGAACAACGGCTGAAAGGGCCACTTCAGGGCTTCAGGACTGGTACTGTAGGTTTGGCAGGTTATACGACTGGAGACAATCGTCGTCTCCTCTCCCTTGTGCCAAGCCCCTCCCTGGATCTGTTGGGTCTTGTACTGACATGCGGACATAAACAGGGCCGTGGGATGCCACTCGAGTCTACACTGTCTTTTTGAGGTAGCAACACGACCTCTTCCTCCAGCCCAATGGCCGTGGTGCAGGAAAAGATGTAACTACAGCACCATACGCCCAAAGCGAGGAGAGACGCTGCCAACAACAACGCATAACCTGCCAGCTCAAAGGCCTGCTTTGCAATATGCAACCGAGCTCAGAGCACCAGAGGCCAGCCAGCGGGCAGCCATAAGAGCTAGAGACGTCCGCCAGAGAAGTCTCAGGAGTACCGGGCACCTTGCATGGGTAAAACATGCTGGATGCAAATGCTGGTATGAACCTGCATGTAACCGAAGGAAATGCAAGCCGTGGCGCCTCCTGCCCCGATCGGTTGAATTGTGCAGGGCGCTGGCATGCAACATGGCACCTGTGCCCTGAAGCTCGTGCAAAATCGAAGGTTGTCCAGGCGTGACTTACTTTGGCTTGCTGGGAGAACTTTCCCTCCGGGCTGGATGTCCCGAGACCGATCAGTCAGCTTGGAGTCAGTTGGAGTCAGAGCTTCACATGACCAGCACATATGACGGATCAAACTGATTCTATCCGACCGCCTGGTTTCATTACAGCTTTCATCGTGGTGGGCGCGATAATCCAGCACAGGTCTTACAACATCAAAAATGCTACAGCACAAGTTACAACAAAGCCTAGCGACTTGCACTCAATTTTTGAGTTCGGGCCTCTACTGTGGATAGGCCGCACAATGGCTACCATGCGCTTTATGGGTGGTGCCCAGGCAGTCTCAGCGGATGAGATTAATGTCATGGCTCTGCAAAGGGCAAGCTGTGTTTCAGAAGCAGCTGCGGATAAAGCAAACATCAAAGTGCATGCCGCAAACAGGACCCACTACAGCCGCTAAGCCTTGCACAATCCTCTCAGGAGCCATGCACAAAAAGCACTGGCCATGCAACAACGCCGAAAGGAGAACGGCGAAGTGAGTTGTGCAAACAGTTCAACAGTACGTGAAGCACAAGCCATACAACAAGCCGTGCAAGATCATACAATGTCATGCAAGTTTCTGCAACCCTCCGGGTAGTGGTGGACTGCTCCCCTGTGTTCCACTTTTCAGAAGAGAAAACCCAGTCTTCAAAGCAAAGAACCAGGCAAACCAACAACAACTAGAACACTCGACGGATGCTGCATATGCAGGGTCGCCCCTCTGCCTCAGCCACCGTGGTTGGCCTGTACGTGAGGAGCAAGGCATGTCTGCTAGACCATCTTGAGATTGCAGGTTTCTCGACTCAGTGGTGAGCCCAAGGACACTGGCCTCGATTCAGCTTGTACAAACTTTTGGGCGCCCAGGTGGCAAGCCACCACGGCACCGGAGGATTTTAGGGTGCTGCTGGTTGTCCGCCTCTGACCTTATCCTCGAAGTCACGCTGTAGGTCTCCCAAATTCTCAAGCTGACGCCGCCTCTCCCAGTCCGCATAGCGATCACCTCGGACTTGCAAGGGCTCAGGCAAATATAGGCAAATAATTACACCTAAGAAATGGGAAGGACTCAATGGGCACATGAAAACCATGGGCTGCACAACTGGGGCACCTGCTGGGTGTTGGTCTGTGAACTTTGCACACTTTCCTGCAGATGGCCGAGGGAGCTTCGGGTTTTGGTGCAGTGATCCCTGGCCCCAAGACAGACGGACAAGACTGACGGAGACCCTTGTTTCATACCACCCCAAATTCTGGCATGGAGGGAAAGCGAATCTGGCGAAGCCTTGGCGGAGAGGGGCTTGCGGCCTTCTCTGCTGGGGCCTTCGCCTGGTGTGAGGCGCAGTGGATGTCAAATGTGCACACTTTCCAACAAAAAGGCACGGATAGCACAAACAAAGCTCGGAGCGCCTCGGCAGTCCTCGACATCTCCGGCAGGACACTCTCGAGCCTAGGGGCACCAGAAAGAGCACAGAGAACTCTCCCGCTTTGAAACACACAAGCTGGCCGCTATTCCGAATACCTCTGGATCCGTTATCGAACATCAGCATCTGTACTAAGCCCTCGACGCCTTGCGACCTTGCGGGGTTTCCATGAAATAATGGTACATGGCTCAGCGCCGACTGTTGCTGATTCAGCCTTGGGAGCCGTTGCCGTCTTGGGCGTGCCTTCTACTACACCTGCAGAGTCCGCAAGTTCAGAGCTCTTGGAGTTTCTTGTAGCCACGCCATGTGCGACATTGAGCCAGTGCTGTGGGCGAAGCGCCAGGCTCAAACTGACAGCAAAACATTGCTCGCCAACTCCCACCTATGTCCTATGTGTTCCCAATTGATTTTACGATGAGACCGCACAGTGGCCCACCGTCTCAAATCACAGAATATCACAGAACCGGGTGCCCTTTATCTTCTTGCCGTGCTCTGTAAAGCATCCTCAAGAAACAAGCTTGGCGAGAGCACGACCCTTGTCAGAAATCTAGGTCAGAGGACCTGCTGCACCTAGCAGTCAGCATGCCGCATGCCTGCTCGTCTCTAAGGCAGGTCGTCTGAAGAGACTGCTACCTAGGTTCAACCAGCATTGTCCCGAAGTCATTTCTGTCTCTCGCACAAAGTCCCCCTCACCATCTCAACTCCTTTCTGGTCCGAACCCCCTGTCTTTGAGGGGGAGGCTCTACGGAGCGTCAGCTGGCGGCAGCTTGCGCAAGGGTGTAGCCTTTCATTCTGTTCCACGCACATCGGGGCTTCCAGGCTTGCGGCCTGCTTGGTGCTGAGATGGGCCTGTGTTCACCGCTATCGTCAACTAGAAGAAGCTAGGCAAAGCGCTGTTTTTATTCTCTTGTTGGGGTGCCTCGTGAGCCAGTAACCTCTTCCTCTGCCCCCGCCCCTCTTTGGGTGGTGCCTTGCGAAGGATGTGTCAGAGTCGGGGTACAGGCGGAAGACCCTCTCATCAATGAACAAATGGTGATCATGACCCCAAGCCGTGCCAACAAATGCAGAACTCGAAGCTGGAGCCGTCGAACTCCAGCTTGCCCTGCTGAACAAGCTGCGCCAGAAACCTTCGCTGCAGGTGTACCACGTACCCTCAGACTCCTCAGACTACACAGATCTACACAGAAGCGCCCTCACACTTGGAACTCTCAACTCGTTGATGTGTGCTCATTAACTCCAAGGCCACTCCTCTCCCCGCCACACTTTGGCATCCCAGCGGCTCACGCAGTTGGGCCTCGCTCTGCGTGTAGGCAGGTTCCATCATGAACCTTCAGCATCCAAAGACACACAGGCGCTGTGGGCCCAGGGTTTGCAGCTCGTCGTAGATCTTGAATCTGTGCATGTAATTTGAATTTGCTGGCCTGTTATTTTGAGGGTCTCAAGTCTGACTCCTCTAGGGGCACAAATGGGATGGACCCTTTGCAGGCGCAGGCTTGCACTGGGTGTGCAGAGGAGTTGGCCCTGCTAGTTTTAGGACAAAGCTGGCCTCTGCAAGAAGTTGTGGATGCGGCTCAGCGATAACCTCAGATTGGTGGCTGCGGAAGAACCAGCTCCTACAATTAGCACTAAAAGGCGGTGCATCTTAAATCGCCTGAAACAACTAATGATTCTTTTTGGTCCTTTATTGGCCCAGAGAAGCCAGGAAGCATGGTGGACTACATCAGACTAGTACTTAAGGTCAAGGTACACACCCAGCATGAGAGGTGCAGCAGTGCCAGTTGCTGATGCTGGGCACCGAGTGCTACTTGTGAGAACCCCAGCCTTGGCCAATGTGATGCAGTCTTACTCAGAAGACTCAGGCCGCGCCACGTGGTGTAGTTTTTGAGCATGCCTTGGAGGAAGGACCTGGGAGAGATTGCAGTTTGTGTTAGGCACATAAAGAGACAAGTTTTTGCTTTCATAGAGGGGCACCATGTAATGAAAAAGGCTATCTAAACTTTGTGGACTGCACGTCTGCTGTCCACCGTTGAAGCTCCTGTTCCGCATCGCTTCTTGGCCTTAAGGCTTCTCGACCCTTCATTAAACCTGTCAGCATGGTGAAGCCCAGCGAAGCCCAGCGAACCCAATTTGGCAGACATACCGTGCCAGGGTCAGATACAACCAAGCCACTCGCAGGCTCGCAGTTCCTTCGAGCATGCCTCCCACACAAGGTGCACCAGTACCATCAACTGCTTGTCAGGTATATGTCGGCCCGCAACGTTGTGCTGTGGGGCCTGCCTTTCTACATCACAATGTAACAAAGCCGCCAAGCCGTAAGATCCGGGAGCTACTGGGAAACCTGCTTGCAGACCTTGCGGCGAGCATCCAACCAACAGGCCTCGCGATTCGCACCATGTACTGGTGGTCCAGGGGATTCAGTATCATCGTCGAGGTGACCTTCAGAATTCAGCAAAGTCGCACATCTGAAATGCTCAGCTATTTCAGCCTTCGGCAAAAACAAATATTTCAGAATGCTTTTGGGGCTAAAGGAGCTCTGACATGGACATTCTGACAATCGCTGCCTGCGTCGAGGTCCACGTTGACACCTTCCATTGTTGGAGCAGACTCCTGCGAAACGCTTCGGGGGCAAACATACATATCTTGGGCGACATGCAATGGGCACCGCTTGAGGAACAATGCAGAACATATACCTTGCCAAAGATCGCTGCCGCCGCTGCTCAAGTCAACTTGCCCTAGTTACACATTGCTGGGCGTGTCGCCCGCATGGGCAATCCCTGTGGGTTTCTATATCAGGAGCTACAGTAATAAGGGCCGATCAAGGATCTCATCAGGGATTGGAAGCTTGGATGTGTTTTCTTTGCCATCATCTCTTCCACCGGTAGATATGCGTGCATATCGCCATGAAGTTGTTTTTAATCTCCCAAGCCCGACTCTCCATACCCTCCGCAAATCAATAGCCCCAGAACCAGAAGGATCCGCCTGCAGCTCGAAGAGATTTGCGCTGACCTCTTTGAGGACGCCCTGCATCGTCATGGGCACAAGTCACCATCAAGCACTACCCTTCAATGAAATTTGGCCATACTTTCAATGAGTGCATGAAAACAATATAATCTTTGCACATGTTCGCTCAACACGCAGGACTGCATCTCAAAACCCCATACCGCTCGAAGAGAAATCGTGGAAAGCCCGCAACGCAGACTTCATGGGCTCCTTCGCTACACAGAACCCTCGAAGAAGTGGCCACGGCAGATGCGCGGACGCACTGGCGCTTTACGCGCGTGCCTTTGCCACCCAGAAGGCCACACGCTTGCGCACGAGAGCCTCCTGAGATTGGCCGAAGGAGTACGGGGCTGAGAACGTGAAGTCAGAGGAATTTGGATTCTGAGGGTGACATGATCACCCAGAATGGGTGCGTGAACGCAGAGAAAGGATGAGATAAGATGCATTCGGCAGGCGAGGCAGCAAGCTACATGAAGCATTTGGGAAACCAATCGCAAACATTCTAGTTGCGGCTGGTGCCGCGCACTGCAGAGAGGATACGGAAAACACCACACACATGAACACAAAGCATCTCGACTCCATGCATGAACAGATCTTGGTAACTCTTGGCCACGCCGCGGGAAGTTCGAGCTGAGTGGTCAGATCCTGGAGACTCAGCCTGCCCGGGCTTCATGGGATTTCGGGTTGAGGGGCTTTGCCGGGTTCTGCGGCTGGCTACTGCCGGTCGGGCTTGACTGCTTTAAAGGGAAGACCGACATGCGAAGACGCCTTCCTGACAATCCACTTGAAGCCCAGGACCTTTTAGCTCTTGTCATCAGATCCCCAAGAACATTTCGCTCGCCCAATCCTCTGCGTCCTGAGTGTTCCTGAGACTTCGCCAATCGATCGCCTGCCTCGTGGCCGCAGCTGTGGCCGCAGCTGTGTCAGCAGACGCCTCGAGTAAAAGACGGCATGTTGACACTAGATACCCCACGCATGATCCCTCCAAGCATCATCTTGGCCACACATCTTCTCATACGGCAATGGTCTCCTCAAGACTTAACTCTACTTTTGAATTTTAGTAGGGCCGGGCCCTACTTTTCTGAGGCCCAATGCCTGCGTATATGTCGAGTCTAATTGAACAACAAGCGCTTGACCATGCCTCAGAGAAGCAGGCCAGGACGGCATAGTGGATCGGCGTGACCTCAGAAGCTTTTGGGCATTCTCACCTTGATGGTTACTGGCCTTGCGCAGACACATGGGTCTCGTGCTCAAGCTAGAATAGCTTCCGCACGTGTTCGTTCGGCTTCGCAGGGCCCAGGCTGTCACATCCAACGTGCGATCCGCCAGCTGAACCTTGCAAAACTCAGAAATCGGCACAAGGCAGCGTGGCTGGCAGAAGCCCACGCATTAATACCACGCGGAAAAACAAAGCACACGCCTAGACCTGCGTCGTTCAATGTGCACAGGAGTAAACGTGCTTAGATACAACACGCTCATGTTCTCTCACCTCCAGTGGAAGATTAGCGAGAAAACGACCCTGGGCAAGAGCTGTTTGCCCAGGTGCTGTGATTTCGACCACTCCGTGGGCTCGCTGCCATTGGAGTGAACCTGAGTCGCTGAGCAGAAAGACCTCCGAGTAGCTACCGTTTCTTTGTACGTGTCGTTCAAACATGTTCAAACGGCAGCTTCGAGTAAGTGCTCGTGGTGAACCTGGTGAACAGTTGGATGCCGAGATGCTCCTTGCCTGTTGAGCTTCAGGGTGTCTCCCGACAATGCATGATGTCGACGTTCCGTTCCTTTTTTTTTTCAGGCAAGCAGCGCTTGGCCTTCGTCTTGGTATAGGCGTTGCCGTAGTCTGTAAGGGCGTCCTCGAGCTGAGCCGGCAACCTGGTGCTTTCACAGGGCGCCGGTGACATGGCACAAAGCACGCTTCGCACACTGCCCGATCCGTGAACGAGAAACAAAGTGAACCACATACCTCACATGCCTTCTCTCAATGTCGAGCTTCCTTGCTCGCTGTTCTTGGGCCTGTGAGAAGTTTTGCCCAAGTGACCGGAAGCGTGGGTGGTCTGCCTTGCTGAGAGCAGGTGGCCAGTAGTGCTGCGAAAGCACGAGGGGATGGATTGGACCTGAGCTGTTAAGCAGAAACGCCGCTGAGAACGTGCATGCCTGACTCATCGCTGCCAGAGGCACCCATTCCACCACCCTTGAGCTGCTGGACGTTGCCTTAAAATGCACATTCCCCCACGGACTTCGGTCGCCTACCAGCACTGCTCAAGAAGGGACAACCCGGCTAGCTGCTGCTGCAGTCAAGGACTGGAGATGCCAAGTTGCTGTTGACACGCTTCGAGTCCTTGATGTCCTGCAACATGACCTGGCAACAGGCCGCGCTCACCGCCCTCTGGGAAACGCCCATTCAGATCTCAGCACGAGACTTGCAAAGACTTTCTGCAGCGCGCCTCGCAGTGGACAAGAGCTGCATCGCCAAACCTGCTCGCAGCACACATCTTGTTTGGTTCATGGTAAGCTTTTGTGAAACTTCTGTGTAACTTTTCCTTTATCGGACTGTCGTGTGCGGGACCAAGCTCTAAGACATCGGATTCACTTTGAAAACTGCACGTAGTCGACTGGTGGCTGGCATGTCTAGGTCCGGTGCAGATGGACCCCGCAGGATTCCAGCCGAAAAGGCTGCTGCTTTCAGGTAACGGCTCAGCTGTCGCCTGGTCTTGAGCAGCTCCAGATTCTGCATCTCCCGCTCCGCGTGGTAGGTGGGGTTGGCCAGGAGCCGGTCGGCCAACATCTCCTCACATGGTTTTTGGGGCTTTTGGGCCCAGACAGCCTCACTGCTGGTATCATGTCGAGACGAGGCACTCAAAAGGGTTGCAGGTGAACTCAGGCCCAAGATTACCAGAGTACCAACAGGCCACAAGAGCATTAGAGTTGGGGCTCAGGCCCCTGCATGGTGACTAATGTCCATATCTACCCATCTTGCCCGAATGCCTGCAAGTACACTAGAATTCCGCTTCTGTCCTTGTACTCCTTGATGAACATCTCCTGCAAGGTTCAAGGGCCGATGTCCAAGATGCATGCCGGAAAAATGCTGTAAGATTGTCTGGGCCCAATACAGTCGAACCTTGTCAAGTCCCAAGCAGCTCTCTCGTGTCACCCCACAAGGCCTACTAAACTTCTTGCTCTCAAGTCCGGGTGCACCTTGGAGCCGTAGATGCCGACCAACAGCGACACGACGTCCTGCCATGGGCTTGAGCTCACCTAAACACCTCTTCCTTCCTTCCTTTCTTTTTTCCGACTTGACCACACTTTGTTACAAGCCACGTGAATTCGTTGGTGCCTAAAACATCACTCATCCTTCTTCTCAGACTCGCTTCGTCGTCTTCGGTCTCTTGGAATTCTCTTTGCTTGCCTTTACAGGCCCTTAATCACAAACTTCGAGCCTGCGCACGTCGATGCCGTGAGGGCTTCCTTTGTGCAATGGGTCAGAGGCGTTTGAGGCTCAGAGTTGACATATCGGGTTGTTATCTGTATATTCGGGATGTGTGACTGCGACTGCTGCAAGCGCGCGTCGAGGCCTTGGGGTACCATTTCTAAAGAAGCTTTCCCGGCGTCTACGAAATTCTCCGAACATCGAGCCCAAATCCAGAACCAACAACGACATAGGATAGGATATGGCGCCCCGGGGAAGAGGCTCGGGCGCGCAGCAACATCAAGCCAACGTCAAGCGGCTGCGGGTCCACGTCGAAGGGGTCTGGGGCCCAGCAGTCCGGATCCTCCTCATCGTCGCCTAGATTCGCTCAGCGGGAGGACTTTTTTCATTTTTTCCCTTCTGCAGCACAGCGTTTCAGCAGGGCTATGCAAGCTTGTGCTCGCATGCGAACTGCTCGCATGCAAACATTGTACATGGAACGCGTGGTTGTGAACGTTTGCCGCTTTGGCTTTTCTCCAAGACTTTCTCCAAGAAGCTTGCTTCGAAGTCCTCGCCTGTGTGAGGGTGGTTCAAAGGGGTAGCGCTGAGTGCCCACGGAAGCTTCTGCGACAGCAAACGGTATACGACAAGCAACTGATCCAAGCTCGAAAATTGAAAAGAGAGACACTGCCTGAACATGGCCGTCCGGCGTGCTTGACTGTGCAGCTGCAGGCTACTCGCCACTCCTTCTCCCCTCCTCTACCTCTCCCCTCCTCTCCCCTCCACCCTTCCATGCACTTCCAGTGCCTGCGAAGTCCGGCACTTCATTCTGAGCCGGCAGTGCAGGTTGGCCAGCCTTGCTGGGATCTACGGGAGCCAAGTGAGAGTCGACCAAGAAGAAAACTCACTCCCGACCTCAACCCTCCAATGCCCATGCTATGCTCATCTACACTTCTTCCGAACATGTCTGGACCTCCATCAAGCCCCGCCTGGAGCTTCGCCTTCTTAGACGCGGAGGCCAGCGCCTCCCAAATGCGGTCAGGAGCCGCGGTGTTTCATGTGTTTAAGAAGGAACCATTGGGCATTGGTCAAGGACCCTGAACCATCTGCCCAAATTTCCCAAATGTTTGTCTCCTGCCTCTGCCCCCTGCTGCAACTCCTGCCCATCGCCCGATTCACAGGCGTGTCCACATACGCTTCAAGTGCAGCTACTTGGAATGCGTGTGACTAAGTCGGTCGTCAATCGGGGCAAATGCGACATTGTCTCGCAGCAGCGACGTGGAACATGCTTTCTGGAAGTGTGTTCGTATTCAAAGCCCAGAGCTCTGAAGCTGTTGACCTCCCCCGTGCACGCGCGGGGTGTCCTGCTGCAACTCCTTAGCTGCTCACGGAAGCTCCTCACAACATCCCATATTCAAGTCAAATCTGAGTCAAACACGCAGAACTATACACAAGAACCCTGAGGATGCCAAGAATCCGTGTCCTCCGTCAAAGCCTCTGGCCAACAGGTGCAGGACTAGGAGATTTGGATTTTGGCCTTGTCACATTGTTGCACATCCTTTCATACGGGTTTGCGTGTTGAACCGAACTTGGCCAAACCCCGCTTGTGGTCGAAGCTGCAGCTGCAGGACTCTGAAGTTCTCTGAAGTTGAATAGCACTATGTCACTATGGCCCGGGCCGTGATGATGCAACGGACCGTGTCTTTGCGTCTCTTGAGGTACTCTCGGATGGGTGCCGACCTGAAAGCAGTGAAGCGCGAAGCAGTGGTCCCTACAGGCGCAAAACCCGACATCCTCATTTTCAATGGCGTAGTACAGCTTGTACAGGCTAAAAACCCACAGGGCCCGCAACCAAAGCAACAAAAAACCCAGCTAAGGCCCAGACACGCCATCCAAGAGCAGTCCCCTCGGGTCAATCAGCCGCAAAGCCTTGGATCGCTGATGTTGGGTCCGGATTCGCTCAGAAAGGGTTTGAAGTTCTCGGGGGCCGCTTCGCAAATTTGCGGGGGAGTCCAGCGTGGCTTCTCAGCATCTCCTAGTTGCTAACTCGTGCTCAGTGAATTATCAGCAAGTAATGTGTTGCTTAGTTTTCTCCTCAACAGATGACAGCACAGCAAAAGCTAGAGGACGTGCCAGTCAATCACCAACTGCAACTTTCTTCTTCCTTGCCCGAGCAGTTCAAGTTTCGAATCGAAGCTGGCAAGCACAAACAACCCAACGGGGATTGCACCTAATGATCCGTGCGCGACGCACCATCTCATCCAAGTGCCTTGATGGTTTTGATGTAGACCTTGATGACGTCTCCTGGGCTGACTCATGACGGCTCGTTCAGAGTTTCTGCCACACGCCAGGCACGCCAGCCACACTGCAGGGTTTGAGCGGTTGTCTTTGCCAGGCGGATGTCTCATCACTGGCTGCAGCATGCTTGGGTTAACAACGGATAGAAACACAAGCCTCGTGATGCTGTCGAGAAAGGTTTCCGCTGAGGCGCTGGTATGCGCCCCTGCAATTAAGAGGCGCCGTGAGATCTGTTGTCGCAAAGCCTGGCGCAAACTTCGGGCAGGGCCTCCAAAATTAAAGCCTCGGCCTCCCCACCTCCTCCAACCCCAAACCTTGAACCCCCTAAGCTCTACTGACAAGCTCTTGCAAACTAGTTGGAACCCGCTTCAAGCCAGTCGTGCCAGAGCATGCCAGAATTTTGTTCACCCTTTCTGCTGTGCCCAGATGTGCTCACGCCGCGCTCATGCCGAATGTTCTCTCGGGTGACTCTCCCGGATGACCATACGATGCCTGCACCAGTGGCGCCGCCCGGCCCGTCAAGGCGAGGCATCGCCTTCCCGAGGCTTCGGGGCTCCATTTGCTAGGTCTGCAGAGGACACCTTGCAGTCGGGTTTCAGGGCTTTCGCTTTGAGCTATGTAAGGGCCGGAGAATTAAATTAGGAACTTTGTTTGTTTTGGTTTGTTTTTTTGGGTTTAGGGTTTAGGGTATAGGGTTTAGGGCTTAGGGTTTAGGGTAGTAGTACCAGGGTAGTAGTACCAGTAGCAGGGACAAAAAACCAAAAAAAGTCCAAAGAAAAACAAAAAATCCTAAAAAAAAGGTCCATAAAAACAAAAAAACCGAAAACAAAATAGACCTCCTAAGGGCCGGAGAATTAAATTCGGAGTTTCTTTTTTTTTTAATAGACCTCCCTATGTAAGTTACAGGGAGTCTCGCTCGCCCACCTCAGTCGTGGAAACACAAAGCACCCAAGCATCTCAGAACGTCGGAGTCTTGTGCTGCAAGCTCTTTAGGACCGTCCCCAACCCTTCCGAGTTTCGAATCTGGGAGAAAAGAAACCACGCCTCAGGTCCAGGAGCGCCGGCGCCGACTCGGGGAAGTCGCGCACGAGGTCGAAGGCCTCACCTTGGAGAATCCAAGCGCCTACAACAGAGAAGGCCGTAAGACACCTCAGAGATTCCTTCACCTCCCGCACGGGTTCAGAAAGTTGAGCCATGTGTTGACAAACCCTTCCTGAAACCTCGGTTGCAGAATGGGAGCCCTTGCAGACTGCCACAAAAAGAGACATGGCAGACAATCTAGCTCTCGCAGCATGTTCTCGAAAACCACCGGGGTCACCGGAGAAGATGGCACTGATCGACTGACCATGTACTGCTTCGCGCCAAGAAGCCCAAGCGAATTTCCAAGAATGCCTCTCTGGCAGGGAAGGCTTCAATTGACGTATGTTAGAATTACACGCGCGAACAACTTCTGACAGGAGCCTACTAAGCCTTTGTAGCCATGTGCGCCACCCTTTTTAAACAAAATTCTGTTCCTTCCTCTCCTTTTTGTCGTCATCTCTGTCCCCATGACCCCCAGGCTGTTGCGTGAACAGGTGTGAACTGAGACCCCCCCCCAAAACCCGAAAAACCGCCCATTCCATTGCTGCACCTGCTGGACCTACTGGGAAAGGGCACTAAGGGCATCTCGGCAAGATCAGCTGCAAGCTGCCCTACGCGGCCCGTCGTCCAAAAAGCTCTTCTCGAACCTTAGTTAGGGCCTTGGGAGGCAGGTAAGATATCACGCAGGACAGGCAAGGGCACGCTTTGCAGCCTGGTATCGACTACACTTGCTGAAAACCAAAGAACCCACTTCGCTTAAAGCAAGAAGCCCCGCACCTCGAAAAAGCGCAGCGCCGCGCTCTGTGCTGCACCCCACCAGGCTTCTTCCGCCTCTCGGGATCGGGTTTTCCAGCCGCTGGGGATCAGGCTTGAGATGCTCGCTTCGGACTTCAGGGGTGCAGATGAGGTTCAGTGGTTCAGCAATCATGATCATGAGACCGTTCCGGCAATGCAGAGCTGGTCGTCGGGGGACAGCCGGTTCAGGGATTTGTTTAGCAGATTCACCTGCAACAATAGAAGCTTCAACGATTCTTGAAAACCGTGAATGCTGTGATCCACGTTTCTACTACGCCCGGCTCGTTGGACAGCGGTCTACAAAAACCACCGGCGCCTTGAACTCAGCTTCATCTTCCTGAACAGGTTGCGAACTGACAGCTTCTTCTTCTACTGCGCAGCTGGAGCTAGCCCCCTCTAAACCTGTAGGAAGGTGTTCCCAGACGACATTGGATGAATGCCACGTACTACATTTCCT